AGGGCAATTGTATTAGTCCATTTACTTAACAACCAAAACTATCAAGCTAGCCGAAATGACTGGTTTTGGCCTGATTTTTTCATTTACAATTCATGATATTATAAAAACGCTCCTGCGTGAAATTTCGTAGATAAATTCCGAATCGTATATATTTTTGTACCATAGAGGGTCAACAAAAATTAATTGTCCTATCGTTGTATATTCAGCGAAAGGAATATTCTAATTGTGCGTAAAAAATCTTTCCTTTTCCAGAGATCCGTAGTCTAGTTATTGGAGTGACATAATTAAAAATCGACGTTCGTTAAAAGAGGAAACGTACTCGTACAGAAAGTTGTGATGGCGAGCGCATTCTGTCGCCGACTCCTTGCCATTTTTCATGACGTTCTGCAATCGGAGCCCGAGAATCTCCAGCTGGCTGTATATGCAGAACATCAGGCCGCTGAACAGAGCATCGTAAGTGAGGTTCATAAGTGCGGCAATGGATACACTCACGGCTTGCAGAAAGAAAATGACAGCGTACACAGCCGGAGCCGAGTAGTCGAACGGGATCCACAAACGAAACCCCAACTTCCTCCCGTTTGTCATCAGCGCGGTGGCAAGCATCATCACTATACAGACCTCGCATAATAATATGTACACGCGTGTTATTTTCCTGCAACCAGAACGACATTTATTCTTGGTCGAATCATCGATTAGCTTAGACACTCATTTTTCATACATATTATTTCACAAGAGAAAAGAAACAGTCATTTTTGACATAGATTTTCATGGACTAATTTCAAGAAACAGGAACAAAATAGAGATTACAGTACATTCTCCCTAATCTTCCTTCAGCTTATAAACAAAAATGGATAATTTGAGAAGAGAAGCCTCGCAGCACGTTTTTTATAGATGACGATTGTCAACCACTATAAAAACGAGCCAAGAAGCTCGAATAATCGTATCTCCTCTTCGCAAATTGCCCATTTTTGTTTACAAGCTGAATACAAATTATGGAGAATTTACTGTAGTTTCTTCTTTTAATCATTTTATCGAGCACAGGCCAACACATATTTTTAACAGATGTATAAAGTTTACGATTCGATAATCAATGTTCGAAAACTTACTCATTGTGTTTGTTGTATTTCGTCTCGATATTCATCTCATCTGTATTATCAGGCAGGTAGGGTTTCTGCTGTAGAGTGCTAATCAGAAGCATGATACTATGCCCACGAGTGAGAAAGCTGCAGAACTTGCAGCAGGTGATCAGCATCGGAAGGGTCAAGATGAGGTTGTCGCTGAACTCATCCTGATTCTGCACGTTGAATACTATATCTAGAACAGCTACCAGCGTCAGGGTCTGTACGAGAATCAACACCGTGATTCCGTACGTTTTGTACAGGAACTTGACGGGCCCGGATCTCCACGAGGGTGGTCGATGACAGCCTATCATTGTCAGAACAGTGGACGCGTATCGCAGCGTTGGCATCGTCGATTTTATTAGCTGTCTTATTGTTACTCATACGATCACGAAATTAATCGTCTGCTTTGAATCAGTCGAAACAGCCGAGACAATTCATCTGCACTCTCAGTTCCGAAATTGAGACTCCGATCTTCGCTGATGCAAAGTCTCGAGACAGGTTTTAATCCGCTTTTCACAGAAATTTAATAGTATACTGTATCGCGGGGGGAAAGAAGGAAGAGTATTGCGTTGGAGTTCACGTGTCAACGTCTTACCTGCCACTGACAGGTGAAGTCAGTATCGGTATTGTACCGCCACCCCCTGCCACAGTTGCCTTTTCATTGACAATGTCCCTTCTATTGTGCAAGCTGGCCAGTACTGTTATTACTGTAATCATTGGCTACGCGCCCCCTTGCAACTTCGAAAACATTCTTGAAGCTTGCGTTTTTTCTCGGAGCTTGTGTTTTTTCTCGGGGCCTGCGGGATCGCTTTTCTAGGGTAGCGATTAGTAGGATGACATTTAATAATGAATACTAGGAGACGTTGTCACTCGTAATGGACAAAGGGTTGAGTGCGGTTCGAGGAAGTGCAGTGTCAGTTGTATCTTCCGCGGTTCTATGTGAAAATATCCTCGTGCATTTTCTTGAGCGCATAAGAGTAATTCTTGAACTCATAGTACGCCAAATAAGCTTAATAATTTTATATTAATAATTTCTTTATCAGTGTACTCTACGATACGACTAACATGCGATTTCTCTACAGGAAAATGGTCGAACTCTTCAAGAAATTGGAATGATTAATATTTAAGAAGCACAAAGTACCACGAATTTTTCTATTTGATCATTCGATGTATGCTGAATGAAGTGGACGAAATGGCCAATCTTATAAGGTAAATTGATTTTCTATGCTAGACCTTCAAGTTGAATTTATTGTTAATTCTATTAGATATATTATTCTACATATTCTAGTATGTTTCTCTTGGTCTTAGTACTACTTTAACGAAAATATCATCGGATTGCATCTATTATCTTCACTGGAGCACATTGTACACTGAGTAAGAAGTTTTGAGCACCTGGAACAGTCGAACACTTTCTGCCTGATCATACTTTTTCTGACAGCATTGAGAACATAATGAAACATACTAACCGCCATGAAAGACTCTATATTCACCGACAGAATGTGAGCAGTCGTGAACTCGATAGGATATGTGGCCCTTATCATGATCATTAGAAGAGTCTTCTTAGTGTTGTCGCTCAAGCTTGCCCAGTTGCTAGCAAAAATCCAATCTGGCACCTCTAGACTCTGGGACAGATGTTTATGTAAGAAAGTTATGGAACCCTTTACGTTGATTGTTCTTATAACGATAATGAACCTTTCGTTTGACTTCGTTCCCATACCAACAGTAGTAAAATATCTGTATCAGCATGCAGAACGCGTACACCAGCGTCGAAGCCAGCCTTTCGCCTAAATCGGTTTGCGTGATTCGATAGAGCGTGAAACAGATTGTCGCTATACTCGCCATAAACTGAAAGCACAGTACTGCTTGGAAGTCTTCGTTCACCTTTGCTGCAAATCTGAAAACGTAGTTGCATTGGTGCAGTGACGCTATCAATTAACGTTAGGATTGCCGAGATAAAAGATTTTTTCTCTTTCTATTCCAAATTTAATGAAATCGTTTCTATGTGAAATTCTTCGATAAACTGCTCCATTTTAACTTTGACTTTAATTTTTCATTAAAGATCGGCGTTCGTTAAAAGAGGCCACGTACTCGTACAGAAAGTTATGATGACGAGCACATTCTGTCGCAGACTCCTCGCCATTTTCCATGACGTTCTGCAATCGGAGCCCGAGAATCTCCAGCTGGCTGTGTATGCAGAACATCAGGCCGCTGAACAGAGCATCGTAAGTGACGTTCATAAGCGAGGCAATGATTACACTCACGGCTTGCAGAAAGAAAACGACAGCGTACACTGCCGTAGCCGAGTAATCGAACGGAATCCACAAACGATACGCTAACATTCTATTCTTCCCGTTTGTCAACAGCGTGGTGATAAGAATCATCACTATACAGACCTCGGATAAGAGCATGTACACGGCCGAAATTTTTCTGCAATCAGGTCATAGTATTTCAGAAGGGCTCAATTTTTCATGCATATTATTTCAGAAGGCAATAAAAGCAACACAATCTTTCATGTAGATTTGCATGCATCGATTGCAAGAAGCAAGGACAAAATAGAAATTGCCAGCTCCTTTCAATAGCTTTATCAAGCTCAAATCAATATGTTAATCTGTCCGCTATTTCATATTTCATCACCCGATTCTTTTGACAGATGTATAAAAAAAATTTTCAATCTAATAATCAATGTTTGGGAACTTACTCGTTGTGTTTGTCGTGTCTCGTCTCGATATTCATCTCATCGTTATTGTCGGGCGAGTAAGGTTTCTTCTGCAAAGTGTCAATCAGAAGCATGATACTGTTCCCATGAGTGAGAAAGTTGCAGAACTTGCAGCAGGTGATCAGCATCGGAAGGGTCAAGACGAGGTTGTCGCTGAACTCGTCCTGATTCTGGACGTTAAATACGACGTCTAGAACTGATACCAGTGTCAGAGTCTGTACGAGAATCAACACCACGACTCCGTACGCTTTGTACAGGAACTTGACGGGCCCGGATCTCCACGAGGATGGTCGATGACAGCCTATCATTGTCAGAACGGTGGACGCGCATCGCAGCGTTGGCATCGTCGATTTTATTAGTTGTCTTATTGTTACTCATACGATCACGAAATTAATCGTCTGCTTTGAATCAGTCGAAACAGCCGAGACAATTCATCTGCACTCTCAGTTCCGAAATTGAGACCGCGATCTTTGCTGACGCAAAGTCTCGGGATAAGTTTTAATCCGCTTTTCACAGAAATTGACAGTATACTGTATCACGGCCGAAAGAAGACGTTGACTTCACGTGTCAACGTCTTACCAGCTACTGACATGTGAATTCAGTATCGATATTGTCGGGCCACCCCCTCCCCCCGGAACAGTCGCTTTCCCATTGATAATGTTCCTATGCGGTAATGTCGCGCAAGCTGACAATTACTGTTATTACTGTAATTATTGGCTACGTTCCCTCTTGCAGTTTTGCGAACATGATCGCGGCGTGCGTTTTCTCTTGGCACCTGTGGGGTCGCTTTTCTAGGGTAGCGATTGCTGGGGTGACATTTAATTATGAAAGCTGGGGGACGTGGCATTCTTAATGAACAAAGGGTAGAGGGTGGTTCGATGAATACACTGTTGCTCAGTGTCATTCGTAGCTTCCGCGGTTCTGTGTGAAACTATTTATGTGGCAATGAACGTATCCCTGACCGTTTTCTTAAACGTCTGAGAATCGTTCAAAATGTGTTTCGAGATTCTAATTATTCTATAAAAAGAAATATTAAATTATTCTATAATTAGGACTAACGTATGATTTCTTTTCAGGACAGTGATCTTGCTTTTGAAGACACAGCAAGAATTGGGATTTAAGAAATACAAAGTACCACGAATTCTTCGATCAAATGATCATTTGATGTATATGCTGGGGACAAGAATGCAATCGTAAGGTAAATTCATTTTCTGTAATAGAACTTCGAGTTGAATTTATTGTTAATTCTATTAGATATATTATTCTACATATATTCTAGTATGTTTCTCTTGGTCTTAGTACTACTTTAACGAAAATATCATCGGATTGCATCTATTATCTTCACTGGAGCACATTGTACACTGAGTAAGAAGTTTTGAGCACCTGGAATAGTCGAACGCTTTTTGCCTGATCATACTCTTTCTGACAGCATTGAGAATATAATGAAACATACTAACCGCCATGAAAGACTCTATATTCACCGACAGAAGGTGAGCAGTCGTGATCTGAATGGGATACGTAGCCCGTAGCATGATAATAAGGAGTATCCTCTTAGTGGTGATATCCAGGTTCATCCAGTCGCTGGTGAAAACCATGTTCGGTATCTCGAGGCTCTGAAACGAAAACGTCTATTATAGAATTCGACGATGTAACGCGTCAAGTCTCCTTGCCTTCGGAATCAACCTTTAGTCTGACTTCGTTCCCGTACCAACAATAGTAGAATATCTGCAGTAGCATAATGTACGCATACATGAGCGCCTCGATCGTTCCCGATCCTAAACCCGCTTGCGTGAATCGGTAGAGGGAGAAACAGATAATCGTTATGCTAATCAGAAACTGAATGCACAGCACTGCTTGGAAGTCCCTGTTCACTCTCGCCGCGAATCTGAAATCACGTTTAGGTCGAAACATCTTTTCGATGCGACATTGCTGAAATTAATCACTGGATAATTATCGTATCTTGTCTTTAGGGCGATCCTACGAACGACCAAGATGGAAACGAAAAAAAAACGGGAAACACACTTATAGATAAAATGATGGTGTCGTGCGCATTCTTTCGCCGATGCGTTGCCGGTTTTGATAACATCCTGGAGGCGGCGTCCGAGAATCTCCAGTTGGCTGTGTAGGCAGAACATCAGCCCACTGAACAGGGTATCGTAAGTGACGTTCATTAGCGAGGACATAATTACACACACGCCTTGCAGGATGAATGTGACTGCGTACACAGTCGGAGACGAGTAGTCGTACGGCAACCACGAACGAAACGTTAACACTTTGTTTTCCACGTTTGTGATCAGCGGAATGGCTACGGTAAACACTATGCAGGCTATTGTCGACCACGTGTATACCGTCGTTATCAGTCTGAAATCAGAACGGTGATACAACAATGGTATATATACTTTTTTTATAGTATACTAGACAGCGGAGTGTTATGCGAAATAGAAGTTGTCTGCATCGATAGCAAATGACAGAAGTTAAATATAAAAGCATTTCTTCTATTAAGTTGATTATAATGTCAGATTCATTACAATCTTTAAACGTTCTTGCTGTGACTATGCTTGATCTAATAACTTTTGGGACAAATGCATAAAATCCGCAGTCTATTTGTAGCCTAATAAATATTTAAATACGTCTGAACAGTGTTTAAAGACAGCGCGACGTTCTCAACTTCCGTGGTTGCTCTCTCTCTCTCTCTCTCTCTCTCTCTCGTTTTTATTTCGCTGTCTACTTACTCATTGTACTTATTGAATCTCGACTCGATCTTCATCTCGTCCTCGTTGACAGGCGAGTAGGGTTTCCGCCGTTGACAGTTTATGAGAAGCATAATGCTGTCGCGGTACACCAAGAAGCTGCAGAACTTGCAGCAGGTGATCGTCATGGGAATGGTCAGGACCAGGTTCTCGCTAAATTCATCCTGCGTCTCCACGTTAAATATTATGTCCAGGATTGTCGTCAGCGTCAGAGTCTGCACCACGATCAGAATTAGGTATCCGTACACTTTGTACAGGAGCTTCTTGGGATTGGAAGTCCACGTGGGTGGCGGGTGGCAGCCTATCGCTGTCAGAACCATGGTCGCGTATCTTAACGTTGGCATTGTCGATTCTATTGGATAATTATTGTAAATTATCCCTAATTTTCCTTCAGCTTGTAAACAAAAATAGACTATATGAGAAGAGGGGGTACGATTATTCGAGCCTCGCGGCTCATTTTTGTAGTTGCCGATTGTCAACAATTATAAAAACGGGGTGCAAGGCTCGAAGGATCGTATCTCCTCTTCTCAAATTGTTCATTTCTGTTTACAAGCTAAAGGACAAATAGGGAGAATTTTCTGTATCTTGTCTTTATGCGTGGGGTCTCCTCTCCTGACCGAATTTAGGATACGCTTCTCGATTTTCCGCGTCTGTTCACTGATGCACAAAATTATTCACACACTTCGCGCAGAGTTTATGGTTGCCAAGTGATTCAGGCTGCGTTAACCCCTTGCACTACGGCTAACACACGTTTGTCATTGATCAATTTCTACGCGAACAGATAATTTATATCGATCGTTTGCCAACCTTCATTTCAATGTTTAAATATTGGTAGAGGATTAAATAGATAAGCGAATTTTATATAAAAGTTATTACAAATGTGTGTGAACGAGCCTGACAGGATATCATAGAGCAAGGAGTTAAAATAACAGTCTTTTAAATTGTTCCCAGTTTTCGAGTACAGTAAGATTGCAAGTAACAATTTGGGAAGTGGTGTGCCAATCGGAAGGGGTCGAGAAACAATGGTACATTTTGTTGATATAGCAAATAAATGCACTGTATCTCACCGTCACACGACACAGTCTCACGTGTCACTGGCTACCTCCGACTATTGGCATTTTCACGGCAACCCCTTGGTCGGTTTCCTATCGACGATTTCCCTTGGCTATGTTATTACGATAATTATTGACGCGACATCTGCACTTACTATTTCGCTGGCATGGTCGCAGCCCCTGCGATTTTTTTTCTTGGTCTTCTTTACTTCGCATTCTCTTGCAGTCGGGGTCGCATTTCGAAAGGGTTTAATAATGAAAGTATAACAGAGGGAGGATGCACTGTTGCGGCTTTTAATGGTCGAAGGTAAAGCGTTTCGAAGAAGCTACGAGTTGCAACGCGCCTCCAGTTCTGTTTCTCTCGAGTGGTCGTTTCTAGAAAATTATTTCCGTTTATTTCCCATTTGAAAATGGGGAACTTCACCATAAACGAGGAACGCGAGGGACAAGAAGACTAATAGTGCAAGGCAAGTGGTCTTCGATTCGAATTTATTCTTTGCTTATTATTAGACTTCATTTCACATTCTGTAGTACGTCAATTTATTTGTCGCATGCGTATCGTTGGAAAACTAGCTTCCCTGAAGCAGATTATAAGCAGAATACGAGGTCTTGATCACCTAGAATGTATTGTAAAACCGTAATCACGTTTGAAACATTGACGCCACTTTTTTCGTTTCGTACTGACCATCATAAAAGCCTTCAAATTCACCGCCAGGACGTAAGCACTCGTGAACTCGATAGGAAACGTGGCCCTTAGCATGATCATCAGCAGGGTGCTCTTCGTGTTCTGATTCAGGCTTTCCCAATTGCTCGCGAAGATCATGTCCGGAATCTCGAGGCTCTGGAACGGGAATCGTCGTTAGAAAATTTAGCAACGTGGACAATTGCAATTTTTCATTACAAACATCAACCTTCAGCCTGACTTCGTTCCCGTACCAGCAGTAGAAAAATAACTGAAAGAGGAAGCAAACCGCGTACACCATTGTCTCCGGCAGTTTGTCGCCTAATTCCGTTTGCGTGATTCGGTACAGGCAGAAGCAACTGATCGTCATGCTCGAAAGAAACTGGACGAGCAGCACTGTTTGAAAGTCTTCGTTCATTTTCGTTGCGAATCTGCGATCGTTTAAAATCGTCAATTGTTTTCGCGTATACACGACAGTGTAGTAAACCTTCTTAACATAGGATAAAGATTTGTATTTTGTCAACGGAAATATTATGATTATTTTATTTTTTCACAATTCCTTAATCTTTAATTTTTAGACGCGTATTCGTTCGAAATATCAAATTCTTGTGAAATGTTAACAATATGTAAAGTTTGTTAACTTTTGTCGGCAAGCGTGATCGGAATTAATAAATAGAATTTTTGCAAATAAAATAGACGAGCAAATTACTGATTAAAACAGTATACTAAAACTCCAGCAACCCTTTAAAGACGAATGCTGACAAAGCGACGACTTCGAGACTGTATTATGCACACAATTATATGTTTTACAATATTATTTAAGTTTCTCGTACATTATTAATATCGCCCAGAAACGTGCAAGAAAATTGTAAACGCACTTGTATATAAAGTCGTGATGCCGCGCGCATTCTCTCGCCGATTGCGTGTCATTTTGGATGTTTTGCAGACGATGTCCGAGGATCTCGAGCTGGCTGCATATAGATAATATCAGCCCACTGAACAAGGAGTCGAATCCGACGTTTATCAGCGAGCCGATGATCAAACTCAGGGCTTGGTGAGCATAAGTCACGGAGTATAAAACGAGGGATGAGTAATAGTTGTACGGTATCCATGCGCGATAAGCCAGCACTCTGTTCTTTGGATCTCTGGACAACGAAGGAATCCACGCCATTATCATGTAGAATTCGGTTATCAATGTGTACAAAGTCGATAGTTTCCTGCAATTATGATTAATTTCTAGCCAGTGTACTCGAGCCAGGGTTAATCTAAAACCTGCGCCACAATTTTCATTGCTATATTTTCAGTAACATTTGTCGAAGATTTCCGAGTCAGCGAACTGTTCGCAGAAGTGAACTGGTTTTAATTGCGTTTGTTCATTTAACAGGTTCAGTGTTAAACATATGGGTGACACTAATTTTTAACTAGGTTCTTGAAATTCATTTTTATCTAATATATCGAACAAATTGAACTACAACTAGAATTTGTAGAATACAAAATAGCTGAACCTATATTTCCTATGGTAAATTTTCACCTTCTAGTTTCGATTTCATTAACTAAAAGACTGATATCGTGTAAATTTGTCGAATTAATATTCGTCACTTAACGTGTTAAACAAGTGCACATAATAGTTAATTTAATTACAGCCCCAGATTTCGCCTTGATTAATTTTTCCAGTAAAACATTTTGCAAACGGATAGCTTTCGATCGATCTGAACGCATGCAGAAAGTATTTGCATAATAATCGATCATTTTGATATTGGAGATAATCGCACAAATGGTTTACTAAGTTTCAATGGTGACTCACTCGTTTGTCACGTCGAAGCTCGTTTCAATCTTCGTCTCTTTGTCGTCGATCGGCAAATAAGGCTTCCGTTGTGTGGCTGTCATCAAAATGGCAATGCTGTTTCTGTTCGCCAGAAGTGAGCATAGCTTACAGGTGGCGATCACCATCGGCATGGTGAGGTACAGGTTGTCGCCGAATTCGTTCTGATCCTTAACGTTGATTGCTAAGTCCATAATCGACGACAGCGTTAGGCTCTGCACGAGAAACAACACCAGAAGCGCGTACGCGTTGTACAAAATCATCTTGGTCTTGGTCAGCCTATCATGGTCAGAACCATGGATGCCCATGTTAGGGTTGGCATCGTCAATTTGATTAGTTACTCCCTTAAATCGTTCGTTCGCCGACAACGTGTGTCGACCCGTTTCACCCAGCAATTCACTTTGTTTCGCGCAAGAGTCGTTCACAGATTTTTACAGCAGAGAATTCAACGCATCATCTACAAAGTCCGCGTGCACAGTATTATGATCTTGTTAGTTTAACCGTTTGCACTCGAGCTTGCTAAACCACGTTCCAAGATCATTTCTATATTATCGAAGTTTAGATTTAAAAAATTGTTAAAAGTGCCAACTGTTGCGTGAGACGCAAGACTCGATTTCCTATGCATAAGATGCACGTTAGAAGGAAATACTATGAGCCGGAAAAATTATTTTCGATTTACAGGTAAAACGACTTCGAGTGCGAGGGGTTAATGTGCGCGAGAAAGCGATAAACGACAATACCGTGTCGGAAACCCCACACGACAAAGGATTGCACGTTATTGACCCCCATAGTGCATCGAAACTGTCTCCGCGCCCTGTTTCGTTCCTTCTGCGGTGGGCATGTTATTATCGCAATTATGATACTCGTGTATTACCGCGCGACTTCGACGATACGTTGTCTTCCACTGCGGTAGGATCGGGTTCATAGAGGGGTAATTATGGAGAGGGTGAGTAGCTGACTATGAATCGTTGATTCATCGAGGCTGGTTTCAATGAACAAGGAGTAATAAATATTTGAAGCAAGTCAAGAGAGCTCCGTCATAAGAGTCCCGTCAGTTGTGTTTATGGCGTTAGCACGAGCAGTCGGACGAAGTCGAGTGGAAACGAAAGTATGCTGTGGCAAAAGTAAGTCGGACAAATGAGTGAGTTAGTTCAATCTTAACTATTTAGTTTGCAAAGCTGAAAGTCTTTTTCAGCTGTTTCTAAAAATGAAATTCCGGATCAATTTCTAGTAGACAAGTACTGCGGCGTTCATGCTGAATTTATTTCTACTCTTATCGAATACCTTGCGTTACATCTAGTATGGTTCTTCTGACGTACATTGCCATAGCGCTACGCTACGAGATATTGTCGGACCCGATCGGTTACTTTTGCTGCAACACGCTGTACGCCGAGTACGACGTTTTAAGCACCTGAAATCCGAAAGTATTCTAATTGAGCACTGTTCAAAAGTATTATAATCGAATGCATCACGATTCAAAAGTATTACAATCGAATATATCACAATTCGAAAGTATTATAATCGAATACATAACAATTTGAAAGTATTACAATTGAACATATAACAATTGAAAAGTGTTAAAACTCAATATATAATAACACAAAGGTATTATACTCGAATACATTAGAATTCAATAGTATCCTAATTGAATACATCACAATACAAAAGTATTGCAATTGACTATATAACAATTGACGCAGCATTCAAGTACTCTAGGTTCAATTTCATAGCTTCATACTGACCGCCATAAAAGACTCCAAATTCACCGACACGATGTGAACACTCAAGAACTCGATAGGGAACGTGGATCGAAGCATGATCATCAGCAACGTCTTCCTCGTGTTCTCGTCTAAATTGTGCCAGTTGCCCGCAAAGATCAAATCTGGAATCTCGCGGCTCTAAAGCGAAGAGTATGTTAGTCTGTACAATAACGGAAGTATAGTTAGTCTACGCAAGAAATTAACCTTCAACTTGACCTCGTTGCCGTACCAACAAAAGTAAAATATCTGCATCAGCATGCAAAACGCATACACCACTGTCTCCGCGAGTCTCGATCCTAGATCCGTTTGGGTAATACGGTAAAGAGTGAAACAGATGATCGTCATACTCGCCATAAACTGAACGAACAACACCAGTTGAAAGTCTTCGTTCACTTTCATGGCAAATCTGCAATAATCGTAAAACCATAGATCATTTCTATGGAAAATCGGAGCGTGAACGGTGCATCAGGAAAGCGAGAAAAGTGCAGATCGACACGTTGGCTATGGAGCCTTTAAATCAAATTAATTTAGTTGGTTGAATAGAATCGGAAAGCTACAATTTTGATTAATATCTTGATTATCCAATATATCTTGATCTTCAGCTACCCATTATTGCCATAAATGTATAAAATTCGCAGTCCAGTTGTTATACATTATTGCATTAACAGTGACAATATCTCGACGGAAATCATTCAAGAATGAAACCCACTGGTATATAAAATTATGCTGACGCGCGCATTCCCGCGCCGACTCAGAACCGCTTTTAACCTGTTGCAGGCGATGCCCAAGAATCTCCAGCTGACTGTAGATAGAGAACAACAGGCCGCTGAACAGACAATCGTAAGCGGTGTTCATCAGCGAGGCAATTGTTACACTCACAGCTTGATGAGCGTAAGTTGCAGCATATAAAATGGGGGATGAATAGTTGTACGGATGCCAGGCTCGAAAGGCCAGCATTTTGTTCTTTGGATCTCTCATCAACGAGGTAACCCACACTATCGCTATGCAGAATTCGACCGAGATCGTGTACATACTCGTTATTCTCCTGCAATCAAATGGATATTAGGTATTTATTATTTTAATTTTGACTTCTGGCAAATCTAGAACATGGCCCGCTTCTTTATTCGAATGTTTCAACTTCTATTTCTATCAACATTAATTTTTAATTCACCAAGTCCACAGTGTAGACAAATTTTTAAAATCTGTAAAATAATATTTTTCATTTTCTCCTGCCATCGGCAATAATTTAAATTGCTTTATCCTTGAGCCTACAATGTGGACAAATCTTTAAAACCTATTAGACCAATTGTGTGTTTCATTAACACCAATTTTTGATCGACCTTTTCTAGAGGCTACAGTGCAAACAAATTACTGAAACCTCCAAGTCCGCATTTTTCATTTTCTTTCTCCGTTTACCATAAGAAACAGAAGCCAAACTCAACGGTAGTCCAGATAAACAACCAAACTATTGTAACACCTTTGCAATAAAAAAGAACACTCACTCATTTATAGCGTCGTATCTCGTTTCGATTCTGAGCTCGTCGTCATCGACAGGCAAGTAGGGCTTTTTCCGCATAGCGTGCATCAGTATCAGGATGCTGTCCCGATTGGCTAATAAGCTGCACAGCTTACAGCAGGCGATCAGCATAGGGCCGGTTAGGTAGAGATTATCGCCGAAGTCGTTCTGAGTTTTAACGTTAAACACAATGTCGAGGATCGTGGTCAGCGTGACGCTCTGTACGAGAAACAACACTACGATCCCGTACACTTTGTACAGAAACAATTTGGAGGACGACGTCCAGGAGGGTGGCTTTCGGCAGCCTATGGTTGTCAGCATCGTGGACGTCCATCGTAGGGTTGGCATAGTCGATTACCTTATTTCTCGAATGTCTTCGCTCATTCGTTCGCGCGATGCTCTACCATATCTGCGGAATCTAACTTCTTCCTCTTTTATTTTCACTGTTTCGCACGTGGAACCTCGAAAGGGACGCTCACCGGCGCATTTTAATCGCGGAGTTCTCGATACGATCGCGTTACGGGGACTTTTTGGATCGCGAAGAAAGCGGGGACTTTTTGCTACAACGAAAGCACAACGTCTCGACCTCGCGCGGCGGAGGTTCGAACGCTATTGAAGGCTATAGCGCACCGACGATTCTCTTCGCGCGCCATTAACTACCCCCAGAGCAACAGCGTTTCCTTTCCACCCCGACAGAAGTCGGCCACTCGTTCTTCACCGCTTGATTATTATTATAATCATCGGCGAGTTCTGCACGCGTAATTCTCCCTTCGGAACCCGTTGCTCGTCGCTGGAACTCGCGGGTCGTGTTTCGAGGGGACGTTGTTCAATAATGAACCGGCCGTGTAACGGACACGCCGCGACCGGTTTTCACCGGGGAAAAATGCGATGCATATTTAAAAGGACTGTCGCTGCCTTTTTTCTCGGCCGCTTGCGACGAAATCGTGGTGCGTGGAGTCGCGAGCGAGGGGAATTGTTTGCCTCGACATTATAGACCTGAAGTGTTTTCTCGAATTTTTATTGCTATCTGCACCACGAGTTGCAGTCTAAATACTTCGATACAGTTTGCTCTCCTCCGTTCCCGGGAAGAAAGCTCCTCACGCTACGTTCCAGTCTTCTTGGTCCTTCGTCTCACTGCATCAGATTGTACGCCGAGTAAGAAGTCTTCAGTATCTGTCGCAAACGTTACGTTTCGGTTTATTTAAATTTCGGCGCGAAAATCTGCTGAATTTCAAGCTCGAAGAGCAACGTGGAATTCCTAAATTATTTTACACTGGTATTATATTTATTATTTAAATCATAATTCAATTTTGTATAATATTAGAACAGTTATGAATTTAAATGACGATCAGTTCATAATATAGAGCATTTAATATATGCATTTATCATTTTTATATTTATTATTTAAATCATAATCCAATTTTATATGATATTATAAAATGTTATATTATTTTTATGTCAAATCTTTTATGCTAAAAAGGGATATCAGAAATGCAGAGGAGCGAAGACACGAGAAGAATTTCTGAATACTCTTGCACTATTTCCAAATTATTCAGTCTATATTGATCCGAACTAATGCAGACAATTTTTATTTGACATAAAGAACTCTCTTCATCGCATTAACCATAGAAATTCCGCCGCATCGAAACGATCAATGCGGTGCAATTTGATCGTGAACGTGAATCGACTGTGCACTGTCTACCGACCTTTGTGAACATCTCGAGGTCCATCGACACAACGTGAACGACGGAGAATTCGATGGGAACTTTGGCACGCTTGATCATCATCAAGAGAAACTTCTTGGCCTTGTCGTCCAGGATCGTCCAGTTGCATTCGAACGCGGACCTTGGGACATCGAGGCTCTGCAAAAAAGGACAACTGCAGCGCGTAAGAAGCCAGTTCGAAGGATCGTGCGATTTTGTGTGACGACGAGATTGAACCTTCAGTTTGATCTCATTCCCGTACCAACAGTAGTAAAAGATCTGTACGAGGGTGTTGAACGAGTAAACTATTACTTCCAGGAACTTCGAGCCCAGATTCTTCTGCGTCAACTGGTACAGATTGCAGCACACTGTCACGATGCTGACCATCGACTGGATCACCATGATCACCTTGAATTGGCTGTTCAGTGTATTCGCGTATCTGCAACGCGACGAGAAAATTCCTGAGGACGCCCGGTGAACGTACAACAATTATTTAAAGGGGCTCTCCTAATTATTATTCGCTTCTCTGGTGTTCTTAGGGATCTAGAGTGCATCTTTTAATATAATACAGCGACGATACGATCTGACAAGACGCTTTCAGTAGAAAAAGCGTTGAATTTGTTCCTTATTTTTTATAAGACTCAAGTATAGTCCGCGCGCAACAAGAAAGCGCCTCTTACGTTCCCCCTCTTGTTAGCTGCCCCACTGCCGCAGCTAGTATCACATTCCCTCTCTTACTAGCTGCGGCAGTGGGGCAGCTAGTAAGAGGGGGAATGTAACACGCAAACGTGCCTTCTTGTCGCGCGAGGACTATATTGTACTCAAGCATGATAATTAGACCGCGGATTTTATGCATTTATGGCAAAAATTAGTAAATATAATTTAAAACAGCGAGAAGATTAAAAGATACTAAGAATATTAATGTTTCAATTTGCACTTGTTAAGGTGATTAAAGAATGCAATTGAGGCAGACAACTTTCAATGATCGGTGGTGGACGAAGGAGATGCACCAACGTGTAAATGCGGTCGTGCAAGTGGAGGCAACGCTTCAACGAGCAGCTCTTCTCTGTCGCGATCGTTTCCAGTCGATGCTTGAGGATCTCGAAGTGGCAGTACGTGTGGATCAGGAAGCCGTTGAACAGAGAATCGCTGGCGACCGTGATCAGCCCGGCGTAGAACAGTGCCACAACCTGGTGAATGTACGCAGCGGAGAAACGAACCGCAGTGGAGTAGTCGTACGGCAGCCACGCCCTGTACAGCAGCTTGTGCTTCCTGTAGCCGGTGAACAGGGACATCGCGCAAGTCGACACCACGTAACTGTTGATAGCGATCGTGTAGACAACCGCGTTCCTTCTGCGAACAATATTTGAGAACGCGACGCGATCATAAATAACGTAGCCCTTCGAGTCATTTTATTCGCATTGCGGATACTGTTCGTTTTGATACACCGTTTATACGAATTTTTCAATTTATATTATAAACATTTTTCTACCCTCGAGACTGTTTCGATTGTATCGGTATCTGTCATAATTCGAAAAAACTGACAGCAGAGCTAGATTCCAGAAAACAGAAATTTTATAGCTTCATTTCTCCACAGAAAGTCAGACTGTTTTTTGAAAAATCGTAACTCAAAGAGTATTACAGATAGAGACACGAAATCAACGACATTCTACGCGCGAAACTTCAAAGTTTAAGGAGAAAAATACGCGACGTGACAGAACGGTTAAATTGCTGTGAACATAATTTTTTAGTATTGTAATTTAAGGGTGAGTGGATGAGCTTGGTGCATGCTTGAAATTTTGTCCGAGTCCTCTGTTGCAGATTTTGTTACATTATCGTTTAACGACTAAGACAGATAATTGTAGATAATAACTAGAATTACCGCGGATTTTATGTATTTATGGCAAAAATCGGTAGATGTGATTTAAAACAGCGAAAAGATTGAAAGAAATCCCGACAACATGGGCGTATCAATGTGAACTTATTAAAATTATTAAAAGAAGCAAATAGCTTGCGATTGGCCCCTGTGTCTTGCGATTGATACATTTGTATTTCGCGTAAAGATCCGCGGTCTGGTTATTAACTAACTTATGATCTTCGCAGGTAATAATTAAAGCAGTCCGTAAGCGACTTGTCCGGAGACTTGCCTGGCCAATCTATCGTATCTCGTTCGAATCTCCTCCTCCTCGACGCTGGTGGGCGAGAACGGCTCCTTCTGGATCCTCTCGATCATGTTCCCAAGATGCCTGCGCGCCAGCAGCAGGTTGCTCATCTTCACGCAGATGCAGAGGACCGACAGCGTCACGTAGAAGTTGTCGGTGAAGTCGTCCTGAGTCTTGACGTTGATGAACAAGTCGCAGAACTGGGAGGCCGACAACAGGTGCAGAACGAGCCACACGAAGGCCGAATAGGTGCAATAGAGGACCCTCTTGGACGAGGAGGTCCACGAATCGGGTATCCAACAGCCACAAACGCCGAGAAGATTGCAGACGTACGTTAATCTCTCCATGCTAACTTCGTTCCCGCTTAATCCCTCTCTCTCTCTCTCTCTCCTCCTCCTCTAACAACTACTTCGACTACCGGCGGTGTGAACGCAACAGCGAGGTCGAAACTACGGCGAAGTATCGCGATTAGAGCGATCTACCCCCGGCGAGACCTGAAGCCGAAGAGATCCCGGAGCCGCGGGCCCCGTCCTCGACCATAGAATATCGACATTTTTATTCCTCCCCGCGGCTTCTCCGTTCCGTCGGGCTATGTCATTACCGTAATTACCCGGAACGCAACGTTCGCAGGTCGTCGTTCCCTCTCGTAATTCCCTTCTCGTTCACTTTGCACGGCTAACCGCCGTAACTCGTCGCGCGCGCTCGAATATGCAAGATAAATATTTAGGGGAGGACAAGCGTCGCCGTCGATTTTCCCCGTAATCGAGACGGTATCGCCGGAGAAACAAAAACACGCCAATGAAAAGGAATTCTAGAATACTAGAAGTGCATTTATTCGGTAACGTCGATGCATCTTTGCAACGCTAACGCACTAACGATTATTTCGCCGAAAGGGCGAAGAGATCGACGAAACAAGCTCGTCTTTCACCCGACGATCTCGTAGATCTCTTCTTCTGGTAAGTTTGCTACAGTCTTCGGCGCCTTCTTTCTCTTCGAGGACGATCCAGAGATCGTGCGAACAGGTCCAGCGATCGTTTCTCTACGACGAACGTTGCACCGCTTACTGGAGCACGTTGTACACCGAATAAGAGGTCTTTAATATCTGCAAAGCAATTCGATAAGTTCGCGTGAAATTATCGCGTCGTTGACTTTTTTTTTAAATGCTTAGAGCGAGACAAAGGAAGCTTTGGACATTTTTCTGGCAGCTTCGATGTCCTGCTTTTTGTTGGAAAAATACCGAATCGAGTGCTTTTTCGATATCCTTATGAACAACTTTTCGTGCGATCTGTGGTTCTCGATTCGAGAAATCGAAGCTCTTGTCCGCGTCACGGATCGTCGAAAATAACGATCGCTCTTCGAAGAATCTTTTCGAAACAGAAATGAATTTCTCACACGAATTGTCCAGCTCTCTGATATTTGAATTTGCAATTGTATAAAAGTGTGTGTTTCACGCGTGATAAATCCGACTCGACTCATGTGCGACGCTGTTTACAGTAATTTCTCCCGGAAATGCCAAATTTCGGGTTGCTGTGAATTTTCTTCTGCCTCCGAATTGCCTTCGAATCGTGGCAAAAAATTAGAAAGCGTTGCTATGAATTCATATTAACACTTCAACGGCCGCGCAAGAAACCTCAATTATTTCATAAAATCGAAGTATTACATACAATATTAAATGAAAATTTCGAAGCAAAGTTGTATACGACATCGATTACTTTTTAAACATTCTTATCACTTGCGAATCTTCATAAAATTAATCACGTTAAGATTATTATTATAAGGCTGCCTACTTTTTTACCGATTGTCTCGAGTTTCTATAAAAACGAGCTGCGAGGCCCGAAGAATCGCGACTTAGTATTCTCGGATCTGCCGGTTTCAATTCCGATCTCCGAACATTTCTGGAAAAGACTACTGTACCGCGAAAATCGGCAAGGACAACCAACGTTCTCATCGTACTCTGTAAGAACTTCACGGAGCATAAATCGAATAAAATACTGACGGACATATATGATTGCAGGTTCAACGTTGCGACGTGGATGCCGTTGAACTCGATGGGCACCATGGAGCGGCACATCATCATCAAAATCATTTTCTTCTGGATCTTGTCGAGCTCCGTCCAGTTCATACCTTGGACTACGTCAGAGATTTCGATGCTCTGGCAGATCGAAGAATACATTAGCTCGGCCGGCACGGAAATCGTCGTTTTCTCGTATAGAACTTTAGACGGAATAGTGAATCGTTCTGAGAAAATACCTGCGCTTAAAGCCTAATATTATAACGAGATCGGATCGTAAGGGCTTGTAATAGCAATTGCGAACCTTCAGCTTCACTTCGTTCCCGTACCAGCAGTAGATGAATATCTGGGACATGATGCTGGCACTGTACGTGATCAACACCGGCAATTTCGAGCCCAGGTCTATAGATTGCGTCAGTCTGTAGAGGTTGAAGCACACGACCACCCCGCTTGCCAGGAATTGCAACGAGATTACCATTCTGAACTGTTCGTTCAACTCTCTGGCATATCTGCAAGCATTTTTCGGGACGATCGATTTCCTGTTTCGTCGCGCAATCTGTTGGACGCTTCGTCTCTTCCCGAACTATTTCGCGGTCGGCTTTTTGGACAGAAAGACGCGCTGAAAAGACGCTAACCAGAAGGATTTACCACAGAAAGCGACGAATACGCTCCGTAAGAATGATAACACTGAATTTACAGTAATTTCTCCCGGAAATGCCAAATTTCGGGTTGCTGTGAATTTTCCTGTGCTAGTCTTACGCCTGCGTAATTTATTTAAGATATATCTTAAATTTCCTTTGCATCTTAAAACGCTGTGCTTTAGCGCAAAAATAATACCGTTAAAAAAGAATATTCTAAAGCCATGGATTTTAATAGTTCAAACGAGGGTAGAGAACTTGTGTTGCAATATGGGGTGCGCCTCGCGCCGAGTTCAAGTACAATGGACGGCGGTTGGAACAATGTGCCGCGGGTCTTTCGATTCAAAAGCCGAGCTACCGTTTATTGCATCGAGGGGAGGATATATATTATAGAACAAACGTTCGGAACAAACCGGCAGAGCCTGTCGTGGCAACGAATGCACGATTTCACTGCCCCGATCTCGCCCCTCTTGATCCCGTTCAGACGACGTCCAAGGATCTCGAACTGGCTGCACATGTGGACAATTAATCCGCAGAACAGAGCATCGCATGCTACGTGACCCATGGCGCCATATTGCAGCGCCAGGCTCTGCTGAATGACAGTCGGAAGGTACAGGCCGACGGTTGAGTAATTGTAAGGCGACCATGCCCTGAACACCAGCGGCCATTTCTCGGACTTGAAGAAGACCGCCGTTGAAAAAGTGCTGCAGGTCACTGTCAGCAGAGTCGTGTACAGGATCGTGTTCGTGCTGTGGAACAATATTTCTCTGCTAGAAAAATGTCTCAAAGTTATTTGAGATGTATAGAAAACTCTCTCCAATTGTTTCTCAGCTTGTGAACAAAAATGGAGAATTTTGGAAGAGGAAATACGATTAATATTCCAGCCTCGCGGCTCGTTTTTATGGTCGTTGACAATCGGTGATTATTTTTATAGTTATTTGTATATTTATATCGTGTTATATTATTATTTATATTTATATTTTTATAGTTACCGATTGTCAAGAGATTGTCCTTGCATTAAAATTGCTTGCGTTAAATATTAATTTGGTGTCGTTTACCCTCGTTGCGGTACGTTAGTGTATGAAGTTTATCATGCAATAAGAGATTACCATAGTTATTCGTGACCGATATAATTATTCATCGTGAATAAAAATATCTACAATGAACAGAAATAAAATTTGCGATATAAGCTCGCAGTAATACAGAAAGCTACAGTTGCTAAACAATAGAATGTTATCTTTTAATTTGAAGCCCTTTGACGTAAACCTTCGATATATAAATATAATATAAAACAAATTTAGAATTGCTAAATAAATCTTCTCTTCCCAAATTGTCCATTATCGCGCACAATCCGAGCGTCGATTAGGTAGAATTTACTGTATACTTAATTTCAGGGGGACTCACTGCATGGCCTTGTCGAATCTGGACCTAACGTCGTCCTCTTCCTGGTTCCGGGGCGCGAAGGGCTCCTCGTCGAAGGTGTTCAGCAGGCCGGCGATGTTCTTCCGGCACAGCAGCATGTTCAATATCTTCTGGCAGCCGACCAGCATCGACACGAATATGTAGAGGTTGTCCGCGAACTCGTCCTGCGTCTCCACGTACAGCAATATGTCCATGAACTCGCAGAACGTGACCCAAAGGACCATCGAGATTATGATCACCGTGTAGGCTTGATAGAGGACCGTTTTCGTGGGCGAGCTCCACGATTCCGGTTGCCAACAGCCGCACACGGTCAGAGTTATGGTGACCATTTTCAAGATACGCATATCTCTTTCGCGAGCCTCTTTCTTCCCGTCGATGCTCGATCGAGCACGTTAAAAGGATTCCATCGCGAACGGTGCCGCGCGATTTTTACGGATCGGAAGTTTCGTTTAAGAGAAACGGCGGATTATTGGAACGGCGTTTCGAAACGGCGGAATATTTCGTCGTCGATCTATTCTAGAAATCGTGCTCCCGATGCGCCGCGATCGAGAAATACGAAAAAGTTGCGACTCGGTGCGCAGCGGACGACTATAGTGCCTCGATTTTCCTCGCGCAGGCCGTCGTCGGACACGCGTCCGTCGCCCGAAGGGTTGCCTCGTCCGCGGGACAACCCCCTGCACGGGCTATACAATTAGCGTAATACCCCGGAACACGACCGAGCGACTCGCGCGGTTACATTTTTATAAATAAGCCCCTTGGGGTTCTACAATTCCTTTTGTCCCGAGCGCCGCGTCGTTATTCTTCCCGTAATTTCGCGGGGGAATTGTAGACAACTTCTCTGAAATATGAACGAACCGAGCGCCGAGGTAACGTCGTCGTTTAATAGCCAAGAGCATCGTCGGTTTTTCAAACAACTTCCAGCAGCGTCCTCGAAGATTTTCCAGTGCAAAACCGCTGAACCGAGCAACCCACTTGCGGTAGGATCGTTCTCGTCGCAGTGGTAAACGTTTTTGCACGTTTCGGTGGGAAATACGGGAAATTCTCGCCAATTGTCGCTCAACGTGTCAGCAGAAATGGACAATTTGGTAAGAGAAGGCACGCTTGTATTGAGCTTGCTGCTTTTTATAATTATTGACAATCGGTAACTATAGAAATCATATAAATATATAATATACAAATAATATATATAATAATATAACATAATATAAATATAAAAAAATAACTGTAAAAATGATTACCGAAATAACGTAAAAATAATTACATGTTGAGCGACAGTTGGGGAGAATTTACTGCATTAGGTCGAGCCATAAAGAGATTCCGATTAACCGCCGGGGCAAACGAGCTTTTGCTGCCACTAAATAGATAAGGGTTGAAAATAAATAGAATAAAGAAGATCATAAAGAAAATAAACTTAAGAAAGAAAGCAAACTAAAAATGTCTGATTGCTTTCTTTAACTAAAAATGTCTGGTAAAGTAACGGAAGTTATTTATGACTCGACCTACAACATTGTGCGCATCCTACTGTGAACCATCGCAAATGTGAATCATTCGTGCAAGATTCTTCGTCTACCGTTTCTAACGTTCGCTTTAAGCGTTCTCTAGAGACCGCGATTCCCTCGGCTACAAATCCTCGTTTCTCTGAAGCAGGTTGTACGTCGAGTACGACATCCTCAAGATCTGAAACGAACGGAACGTTATCACCGGCAGGCATCGTCGAATCGGAAACGGTTCGAACGTCCGACTAACGCTGACGAAAGTGCCCAGGTCCATCGTGAACACGTACACGCTGGTCAGCTCGATCGGATTCGTCGCTCTTCTCATGATCATGATCAGACTTCGCTTCGTGCTGTTGTCCAGATTTATCCAATCGATCTCGAAGATCGCGTCCGCCATCTCGACGCTCTGTTCTCGCGTCGGAAAATATTCACGGGGTTGAGACATGCAACGGATTATAGTAAATTCTCCCTAATTGTCGCTCAGATTGTGCACAAAAATCGACAATTTGGGAGGGGGAGATACAATTGTTCGAGCCTTGCGGCTCCTTTTTATAGTCGTTGACAATCGGTAATTATTTTTATAGTTATCTTTATATTTATATTATATTATTATGTGTATATATTATTTATATATTATTTATATTATATTATATTACTATATGTATATATTATTTATGTTATATTATATTATTATATATATTATCTATATTATATTACATTATTTTGTATATATTATTTATATTTATTTTATTTTTATAGTTACCGATTGTCAGCAACTATAAAGGCAAGAATAATCGTATCTCCTGTTCCCAAATTGTCCATTTTTGTTTCCAAGCATCAATTAGGGAGAATTTACTGTACCTTCAGCTTGAGCGCGTTCCCGTACCAACAGTAAAAGAATATCTGCGTCATCATGCAGACCATGTACAACACGAACTGCAGGTACCTCAAGCTCATCAGCGGCGTGTTCGTCAACTGATAGAGAATAAAGCACACTACCAAGGTGCTCGCCAGAAGCTGAATGCCGATCATCGCTTGGAACTTCTCCTGCATCGTCAACGAGTATCTATGTCGAAAGAATTGTTTCGGTTCGTTGGTTTCGAATCGCGCTTTGTTTTTGGGGGGATTTTGATCTTGCGACGGCGGACACTTCTGGGTTCAAATGGACCCGGCGCCCGCCGTCCGAGGGTTAATCGAGAGGATTGCTCGGATATCTTTGGAAACGGACCTGTACAAGTACTTGTGGAATTTCACGATCGGTCCGATATCCGGTCTATCCTGTGTCGGCAGTTCTTTCAACCTGTGCTGCAGAATTGCTTGTTGGCTGCAGGCATGAACGCACAGTCCGCAGAATATAGTGTCGCCAGCGACGTTCAAGATGGACGTGGCGATCAGGCTTACAAGTTGGTGGACGTACGCGACGTAGTACAGCTGCCCCGAAGAGTGATTGAACGGCAGCCAAACGTTGTACGCGAGTTTCTTGTGCCGGAAATCGGTGAGTAATGAGGAGATAATCATGCAGAGGACAGTGATCTCCACCAAAGCTGCATAATATATTGTGACCGACCTGTAAACTGTTTCTGAGTATGTTTGTTTGTTTGTGTATAATTTGTTTGAGATTGTTTAAGGCTTTCGGAGACAGGGCTCTTCAATGCGAAACAGTAAATTGTCGTATTTTTATTTTTATTTGTTGCCTTACAGATTAACAGACCTCTACAGGAAACTTTCTAAAGGAGATTCAGCAATATCTTGTTGTTACTGCGTTTAAGTACGAATAATTTATTGACTACGAATAAACAATAATTTGATAAATTTACAGACGACAATAAATAACGAAACTTCCTTAAAAATCTACCACCCCCTTCGTCTGTATATATATATATATATTTCCTTCTTATTCAATCCAATAGTAACAGATACTCTGCATTTCGAATTTTGCAATTTCTATTTGTTAAATAAATCCAAGAAGGCGTGTACAAGGTAAATATTTCGCCGTATATAGGACTTTGAATTCCGGTTTTTATGCTACCGTAAAATAGAAATGAAAAATTGTAAAATGACTTTCTTGAGCTTCTTAGAAGAAAAGGTATTATTTTTCGAAACAATGGTGACTGTGAAAAAGCCCGCAGTAGTTAAACAATTAATAAATAAAAGCACGAATGAAAGCGCCGATATATGGAAAATACATGGAACGGAAACAATAAATATGGCAAACTGGAAGTGAGAAAACAATATTCCAAAGTCACAGCAATGTTCAGGAGAGTTTTCTGCACCGACATAATGCAAACAGTTTCGATAAAAGTTGCTCAATTATTAAATAATTCAGAAAATGTAGGATAGTAGGAAAATAGGAAACTGAAAATTAGAAGAAATTTAATAACTCGAGAACCCGTGACTCACACTTGACGTTCTTGGTCTCAAAATACTCGCAGTGATCTAATCTATCGAATGTATATCTTGGAATTGCCAAATTTCTTATAATTACGGTTTTTTAAAAATAATCATTTTATGGACCGTGGCTCACTAGCGCCGCCTCGCGGTAGAACTGCCGAACTAACATTCGTATATGGACAGATATCAAGGGTATATAGAAACGTAAAATACGTCAAATTTCGAACAATATCGATCACTGCAAAGGCATAGGGATATTCAGCGAAGTCTTCTGAATCGAACAATGTGTAATAGTTAATTAATTAATAAAGGAAAATGCCTGAGGAATACATCGATTGGGAAAAACATAATATACGGTATAATTCGATCAAAAACAATTTATTATATGTCATAGGATTGTTCAGGAGAATTTTCTGCATCGATATAATGCATAAGGTTTCAATAAAAGTAGTCCAATAATTAAATAATTAATAAAATAGTAGAAATGTCGCGAAAAAGTGAATGGTGGCGCCATCTAGCGGTGAACATAGGAAACTCTGAATTAGAAAACATTAAATAACTCAGAAATCCATGACTCAAACTTGTCGTTCTTGGTCTCAAAATACTCGCAGTGATCTAATCTATCGAATGTATATCTTGGAATTGCCAAATTTCTTATAATTACGGTTTTTTAAAAATAATCATTTTATAGACCATGGCTCACTAGCGCCGCCTCGCGGTAGAACTGCCGAACTAACATTCGTATATGGTCAGATATCAAGGGTATATAGAAACGTAAAATACGCCAAATTTCGAACAATAACAACCACTGAAAAGGCACAGGGTTGTTCAGCGAAGTCTTCTGAATCGATCCATGTGTAATAGTTAATTAATTAATAACGGAAAATGCCTGAGGAATACATCGATTGGGAAAAACATAATATACGGCATAATTCGAGCAAAAACAATTTATTATATGCCATAGGAATGTTCAGGAGAATTTTCTGCATCGATATAATGCATAAGGTTTCAATAAAAGTAGCCCAATAATTAAATAATTAATAAAATAGTAGAAATGTCGCGAAAAAGTGAATGGTGGCGCCATCTAGCGGTGAACATAGGAAACTCTGAATTAGAAAACATTAAATAACTCGGAAATCCATGACTCAAACTTGTCGTTCTTGGTCTCAAAATACTCGCAGTGATCTAATCTATCGAATGTATATCTTGGAATTGCCAAATTTCTTATAATTACGGTTTTTTAAAAATAATCATTTTATGGACCATGGCTCACTAGCGCCGCCTCGCGGTAGAACTGCCGTACTAACATACGTATATGGGCAGGTATCAAGGGTATATAGAAACGTAGAATACGTCAAATTTGGAGCAAAATCAACCACTGCAAAGGCATAGGGATGTTCTGCAAAGTCTTCTGAATCGATGCATGGGAAATAGTTAAATAATTAATAAAGAAAAGCGCCTGTATGTATGCGGAATACATGGATTGGGAAAAACATAATATGCGATATATCTCGAGCAAAAACAATATATTATATGCCATACGAATGTTCAGGAGCATTTTCTGCATCGATATAATGCATACAGTTTCGATAAAAGTATTTTACGTTCCTACATACTCTTGAAATCTGTCCATATACGAATGTTAGTTCGGCAGTCCTACCGCGAGGCGGCGCTAGTGAGCCATGGTCCATAAAATGATTATTTTTAATAAACCGTAATTATAAGAAATTTGGCAATTCCAAGATATACATTCGATAGATTAGAACACTGCGAGTATTTTGAGACCAAGAACGACAAGTTTGAGTCATGGATTCCCGAGTTATTTAATGTTTTCTAATTCAGGGTTTCCTATGTTCACCGCTAGATGGCGCCACCATTCACTTTTTCGCGACATTTCTACTATTTTATTAATTATTTAATTATTGGGCTACTTTTATTGAAACCTTATCCATTATATCGATGCAAAAAATTCTCTTGAACATTCCTATGGCATATAATAAATTGTTTTTGCTCGAATTATGCCGTATATTATGTTTTTCCCAATCGATGTATTCCTCAGGCATTTTCCGTTATTAATTAATTAACTATTACACATGGATCGATTCAGAAGACTTCGCTGAACAACCCTGTGCCTTTGCAGTGGTTGATATTGTTCGAAATTTGGCGTATTTTACGTTTCTATATACCCTTGATATCTGACCATATACGAATGTTAGTTCGGCAGTTCTACCGCGAGGCGGCGCTAGTGAGCCATGGTCCATAAAATGATTATTTTTAAAAAACCGTAATTATAAGAAATTTGGCAATTCCAAGATATACATTCGATAGATTAGATCACTGCGAGTATTTTGAGACCAAGAACGTCAAATTTGAGTCACGGGTTCTCGAGTTATTGAATGTCTTCTAATTTTCAGTTTCCTATTTTCCTACTATTCTACATTTTTTGAATTATTCAATAATTGAGCTAATTTATTCAAAGCTTTTTGTTTGTTATCGATGCAGGAGAATCTCCTGAACAAGCTTATGTAAAAATGTATTATTTATTCTATGAATATATGCCATATTTTGTCTTTTCCATCTGATATATTTCCTACATACTTTTGCTTTTATTCGGGCTTCTGATTATTAATTATTTAAATTACTTTGGAATTTGGTCGAGTATCGTTGCATGAAATCGTTGCAGGAGAATCTTATGTACATCCCTGTGTCCCTAAAATATTCATTTTTGCTTTAAATATGATATTTTTTCTGCATTTCCCAGATCATGTATTTCTCATGCTTTGTCCGGTAGTATTTTGTTAAGTATTTAATTATTACACGATTTTATTGTTTAGTTTTGTTTAATACCGATGTAGATGTTTCGCAAGGATATCCCTGTGCTCAAAAAATATTCTTTTCGTATCAAGAAATGTTTCAGAAGGCTTAAGAAGTCATATTAATATATTCCACACTCCTCTTCTTTCTTTCTTCCACTCATTATTTAATTTTATTTAAGATGAACCCCTACTATTCGAGGAGTAATATTTTAATTAAAAAAAAAAATGTATTTACCCAATTTTACGATCGTAGTCTCGCTGAATAGCCATCTCCTCTCGGTTTCTTGGCTCGCAGGGCCGAGTCCGCAGTTTCTCGCACAAGATCTTAATATTCTCATGATTCAGTAGTACCACGATCAACTTGAAACAGGCCAGAATGTTCGCGATGAACATGTAGAAGCTGTCGCTGAGATCATCCGTAGTCTGCACGTTCCACAACGCGTTTAGAAGTTGCGATAAACAGAAACTGTGCAACAAAAGGAACACAAAGACCGTGTAGAAAGCATACAAAATCCTTTTGCCGGTCGTGGTCCACGGTGACGGTCGCCAACACCCTCCGATCGTTAATAACTTGAACGCGGGTTGCAAAATAATCATCTTCCACTCGGTCTAATTAATTGTATGCAATTAATTTCGATCCTAAAACAGCGCGTTGCGCATTTCGTTAAACAAAAGTCGTCCCGGAACGTTCATAACGTCTCATGATTTTCCGACAGATGATATACTCTTTTCAGTATCCGTTCGTTCACTGCCTCGAGCAGTATTTTTGACATTTCCCGACGATCTATACGCTCGGAAAATGATTTGCCGAGAACGCTGTCCGCGTCTACCTCCCCTATGCACGCAGCGTATCATTACACTAATATTGTGTTCCGATGTGACTATAATAAAAATCCTGTTCTCGTGAATTTTCCTCTTGACAGACCGTTACGGCGACGACGACTACCAACGTTTTATTCATTTAGTGGGTGTTCCGACGTCGCGTCGTTCTCGGGGGATGACTATTTAATATCCAGGCTCTATTAAATATTAAAATCACTGCAGAAGCAAGAATTCCCTTTTCGCCGAAGGGGATCTCTCTTCTTTCGAGAAATTTACGTTGCAACATTCTAGGAAAGCGCAAAAACACGTATCACGAGCGTTTCCATCGTACGAATGCTAGAAGAGGGTTTACAAAGAAGAACAACGCGATACGGTGATTTGAAAAAAAAGAAAGAACAAATGCTCCGAGGTTCGATTGATTCGTGCATCACAAACGAGGATATCTTACAGGTATCGTATTGTTACAAAGCGCGGTTCGATGTATAAACGTCTTTAAATACTTACAAAGTGTTTATCGCTACGCTTTGGAGTAGTCTCCTTCGAAAAATAATGTTGCGAGAGTTTCTATACAATGTGTTTCGTACAAGTTTTATAAATCGTAAAAACTTCACTCTGGTCCCGGTCTGCTTAATTGGTTCCGTCCGGTCTCGATCGGCCGGCCACTTTCGGCATCTTCTTGTTCGTCGAGTCCTCGAGCTCCTTCGGCTTGTAATAGTGCGGCGCGACTTCCAGCAGCCATTTGCTCTCGATCTCGGTCACCTGCGACAAACAAATATCGTTCGGTCGATTCGTCGCTCACCTGGGAATTCACCCCTTGATATACAATGACGAATTGGGATCGTTATTTTATTTCGCGTGCCACCGTAACTTTCACGACTCTAACTCGTCGAGAGCTGTTTTCGGCGGACGCCTTGCAATATATTTTAAAATGTTTAAAATGTTCAAGATGCACCGCTTTCTCGACAGTACCGATAAGAAAGTTGCATCCACAAACCAGAAATCCCAATTTCAAAATAAAATACTCTCTTTCTCAACTTGCACTGTAACTGTTCAGTTGAGACAAAGTTAAATTGTATTTATCGGACGTATGAAATTTGTATGTTTTATTTATACGTCAAGGGGTTAACCATCGTTGGAATCGTATCGAGAGCGGCGATACCTGTCGCATGAACTCTTTGGTAGTGAAAACCAGCTCGTGGTAGAGCAACCATCGTGGAAGCTCTTGGAAAAGCGAGCTGTTAGGATGAATGGACACCGTTTGATTGTGTTTCGCGGTTTTGTAGTGACCGCCCTTGGACAATCGCGCCACATGGTAGAAGTATCCCGCTGTTATGGCCTGTAATTCGATCGGATTATAGAATTAAAATTGGCCCGCGCGAACCAGATACAGTAAATTCTTCCTAATTGACGCTTCGAAACGAAAATGGACAATTTGGGAAGTGGAGGTGCGATTAATCGAACCTCGCGGCTCGGTAACCATAAAAACAAGCCGCGAGGCTCGAATAATCGTATCTCCTCTTCCCGAATTGTCCACTTTCGTTCCCAAGCTGAGCGTCAATTAGGGAGACTTTACCGTGTATCGTAAGACACCGATTAATCACCTTCCTGATGTTCACAGTCTCGGTGATGCCAGAAACAAGCTCCATCTCGACTCTCTGCATAAGTCCGACGAGCTGTTCCCTGACGTCCCTGGCCCTCTTCATCGATCTATGCTGAATGAAGTTCTCGTAGCACCAATGCGTACTGAAATCGCTCTGCTGCCACTGATTGTAAACGTTCAACAGAGTCAGATGGTCGCCGCCAGGCACGTGGAAGTTCTTCCGTGCCGTGTCCGCGTGAATGATCTTGTCCTTGGGCCTGTAGAAAATGGCCCCGTTCACCGACAGCATGGCGGCTATGGTCGCAACCTCTTCCGAGCAGCGATACTGTTCGCTGGCCAGCAGCATCTTCGCCATCATCGGGTCCAGTGGAAATTCTGCCATTCTTCGGCCCAACTTCGTCAATTCACCGCGATGATTCAACGCGCCCAAAGCGTACAGCTGTTCCAGGGCCAGCACCAGTGTTTCATGGGGTGGCGGGTCCAGGAAATCGAAGTGCACGAGGTCGTTTATGCCCAACGCCTTCAACGTCAGCACAGCGTTGCCTGCAAGTGCAAACGGGGGATCCTGTTACATTTGGAAATTACATTCGTCGTGCCGCGAATGCTTTCAATGATCGTTACGAACGCAACGCAACTGTAACGCGTAAAAATGTAGAACGAAGCCGGCGAGGAAGATCGCGAGTGGACATCAGTGGAAAATTGCGAGACTCGAAGAACGTACCTAGATTGATCCTCTGAATCTCGGGCACGGTGTTGTCTTCCAGCTCGTGCTGGTACGCCCACGCTGTGTACAACCGGAAACACTTTCCTGGAGCGACTCTTCCTGCTCTGCCGGCCCTCTGATTCGCCGAGGCTTTGCTGATCGGGACGACCATCAAGCTTTCCATTCCGGTACGGGAGTTGAAGTTGTTCTGCTTCGCGAAACCCGGGTCTATCACGTACACTATGTTGTCTATTGTCAGGGATGTCTCAGCTATGTTTGTGGCCAGCACCACCTGCAAGTTAGAGGATGCAATGGGGACCTTCGGACCCTAAAGCTCTCTTTCGGGAAATTATGCTCTGGAGATTTGATCCGAGGAAGCAGGGTCAGCAAAGTCTTGTTCGTACCTTTCTGGCACCGGGAGGGGTGGGCTGGAATATCTTCGCTTGCATGTCGCTCGGGAGGTTCGCGTAGACTGGCAGGATCAAAAGCTCCCCTAATTTCGAGCCCAGTCGCCTCACTCGCTCCTGCAACATCTCCTGGCAGGTCTCAATTTCGTCTTGACCTGGAAGGAAGCGATTTAACGAATTTCTTCACGTTCGTACACGGTAGCACCTATCAGCCATTGCTAGATTCGGTGTCAAACGCGTAAAAAAATGTGACTCTATCTGAAAACAGCTGCCACGGAATCCTCGAAAGCGAGCGCCGTTAAAGGGTTATTATTTATCTTCTCGTCTCATGCATATCGATTCGAAAGAACAAGCGAAGCTGAAAAATGAGAAGTCAGGGTTAATTATCGGTATCACCAACCGGTCAAGAACACGAGTACGTCTCCGTGAGGCTGCGTAGCGTGAATCTGCAGAATGGAAACGACGGAGGCGTCGATGTAATCGGCCTCGGGCGCTTTCGTGTAATAAATGTCGACCGGAAATCGGCGTCCAGGGATTCGGAAGATGGGGGCATCGTCGAAGAACTCGCTGAACTTCGTCGCATCCAGGGTGGCCGACGAGATCAGCAGTTTCAGGTCCGGTCGAAACCTGGTGATGTCTTTCACCAGACCAAATAGTATGTCTGTGTGCAGGGTACGCTCGTGAGCCTCGTCGATGATCATGACGCTGCAGAGAATATTTTTCGTTGCTTGTTAGATGTTCGAGCGACCTTGAGGTCTTCATCGTCGTTATACCTGTAAGAGGCCAAGTCTGGTTCGCTCAGGAATTCCCTGTGCAAGGTACCATCGGTCATGTACTTGATCCGTGTGCGATGGGAGGTGCAGTCTTCGAACCGAATCGCATAGCCCACCTCGTTCCCCAACTTCACCGCCATTTCGTGGGCAACTCTCGCTGCCACCGACATGGCGGCCACTCTTCTGGGCTGCGTGCACCCTATGATCTTATTGTCTTCGGCAAATCCGGCCTCGTACAGGTACTGCGGGATCTGAGTGGTTTTTCCCGACCCCGTTTCACCCTCTATTATCAGAACCTGAAATGAAATTTCACGTTATTGAGCTAGCTGCATCTAAAGCTGCGATTGAGCTGTAATCTTTATGCATTTGTAGCGTGTGCGAGGTTGTACAACAGGGAGCAGCCAAGAACGATGGTATATTTATTTTATTTCGATCGAACGAAGTTTCGGAAGCGATTAAGACAGTTCGTAAAATCAGAATTTGCATAAAGATCCAAAGTGAAGCCATCGGGAGTACTTGGTGGTCCTTGATGGCCTGGATCAGATCGTTCTTGAAGGGGTAGATCGGCAGACTCTTCTTTGTCTCTTGTATCGTCTGCAAGGCTTTCACTTGCGGTGGCGGACTCTCCTCTCGTCTCCGATCTTTTTCGCTGCCGGGCATTCGCAGTGCCTGGACGAATTCGACCTCGTCCTCCAGAAGAAGATCATAGTCTTGCTGAGCTGTAGAAATAAGAATTATTTTAACCGGTGGATACGAAGAAAGTATTTCGAAATTATACCTTTTCTGTCTTTGGCACCGAAGCGGAAGACTGCCGAGGACATCTGATCCGATTCCCACTTGCTCTGTTCAGACTGTGGTGGCTCGTTGTCCTGCACTTCGTGCTCCGGCTCAACCTTGCCCTTCTCCAAGGGCATGTGGTACCTCTGCACCCTCTCGAGCTCCCTGGCTTTCTCATGTTCCTTCGCTAATTGGAGCAACTGCTTCTTGTGCTCTCTCTCCCTCTTTTCCCGGTCTGTTAATCTAATTATAAGAAAACCCTTGTTAGTACAGCATAGATTACAGAAGTAGCGAAGGAAAATTACATTTGCTCTTCGAAGAGGTATTCATCATCGATGATATCAGCCTCCAGCTCCGCTACTTTGTCTTCCTTACGCTTCTCCAGATATTTTCTACGAGATTCTACTCTGAGCTTTGGTACCAGCTTCTCCCTCATGTCTGTTTCCATTATTTTGAGCCTCTTGGCTGCCTCGGCTGCGAGAGAATCATGGTCAGCAAAGTGTGATTTACGTTACGGTGTGAGGAAATGTTCAATTTACCTGCTCCCGAGCCAGCTGGCATGGCAACCTTCCGTACTCTGGTCTCATCCTTCGCTTTGAGTCTATTCGCGAATTCATCCCTCTCTTTGATATCTTTCTTGCGTCTCTCCTCTTCGCTGTCGCTATCCTCGCTCGAGGATTCCTTCCTTCTGTATTTACTCATGTTGTTGTCAGTGGAGGGTATAGGTTAGGTTCTATTTTTCACAGAAAAAGCACAGAATACAGTAAAATTTATAGAAAATTAATCGTTCAGTTTACGGAGAAAAGCACGGTGCATCGTGTCTCCGCCTCGAATAAAATGCGAGCGGTCTCAGTCATGGATAAAATTCGGATAAAAACAGAGGAGAATGGGTCAGATTAGGTTAGTTTATCGTAACCTTTCTCGAATTGGAGTGAAAACAGTTAGAACAATACTTTTTAAATTGCTGTATAATTGTATTTACAACGTAGAATACGAAACTGCAATGAATTCCCATGAAAAATGAACGGAAACAACTTTCTTTAGCGATAAAAACAAAACTGCTTCGATTTCAGAATTGAATGGACCCTGGCCACGTGACACGCAAACGGAGTTGCCAGGCAACGTGCGTAAAGCGGCATAAGATCAAACAAAAATGCACGAGATTATTCAATAAGACTCTACGTCATGCTGCTCCGTTTATCTTCGTTCCGCTTTATCTATTAAATCACAGAACTTTTTACGCCAATATCGGTTTCTCTGGGTGATTCCTGCAGCCGGAATATCAAATAAAGATGCAGCACTTAAAGAACCGATTTAGTCTCACCCCTTAGAGATTCCTATACTCGTTTAATATTTTCTTTGCTTTTACTGGTTTTCAGCAGAAATGTCCTAGATAAAAAATGAAAGTGAAATAAATTGACCAAGGGATGATTTTATGATGGCTCTTCGAGGACCGTCACCAGGATCGTCTCGACCCCGCAAGAAAAGTCCGGGGACATGGGTAAAACGATTTAGAAATCACTGAAAATTTATTGACATCAACACAGAACCTTCCGCGAGAAAGGTGATATACGCGATTAGGTGCCGTTTACATAAATACAAAGAATATCCACGGAGTTTCCTCATCAAGATTTATTTCTAAAGAGAAATACGTCGGTTGCGATAATATGTATATTGTTCAGAAGCCGAAAAATAGTTCCCGAAACGCGTAAGTTCGATCGATCCTCTCTCTCTCTCTCTCTATTATTTCTCTCTCACTCGCACTTTCTCTCTTTCACTTTCTCTCGCTCTCTCATTCACCCTCTCTCGCTCCGATTTTAGTTCTCTTTTCTAACTTCACCGGTCGCAGAGTGACAGAGAGCGACCACTAAAACACAGAGCCGATCGTTGTCTCGAATATACTTTTTTTTTGTTTTATTATACATACATTAATGAAAATATATACATGGTAGACTGCAGCTTTTTTCGAAGCAGCGAAAATGTCCATGAAATCGGCTACAGTATTCGTTTTTACGCGCGAACCGATCTGTGCGACTTGCATACATATACGTAACGATATATATTGTATACATAACAAGTATATAAATATTAATATGACCGGGTGGGTCGCGAGTTCGAGCGTTTCTCCGTACAACACTTTTGTACTAGCTCCCGCGGTGAATCGGTGACAGAATAACGTAATTGTCGAAATGCTCTTTTAATATCGTACATTAATTACGCGGTTGTCGTTCGCTTTGGTAATTATTTCTAGATGAATAATAAAATAATCGAGACTATACGATATCGTAGAGCATTTCAAACAGGAATTGCAAAGATCCCGAAGATAACCACTTCGAACTGTTACGTATCGGTTTTGACTGAAACAATTGCGAAGAACCGAGTCTCGTGACTGTTATTTCTCGATTCTGGGTTTCGGTTATGCGTTTCGATTATGGTTCTACTTCGCGCATCAAACACATCATTATTCCCTTTAGGTGTTGCAAAGTATGGATTCTACATTTAAGTCGGCAAAATGCGTGCAATATGAACAGATCTTTGTAATACTGTGTATTACTGAGAAGTTACGTTGCGACTACGGACACCGTTCGTCTTCATCTACCATACAGAACCGAAACCGAGAATCGAAAACATAGAAAACATAGAAATAACAGAACCGAGGTACCTTATAACTAGACTGCGGATGTTTATGCAAAATAAGAACTTTGTGCATCGATCGCAAGGAACAAGAACTGCATAGCTATTCATTCTTGTCTTGAACAATTTTTGTTGAAATGCAACGACAACGCTGGACATACGTTTAGGCGTTTAGACGTAAGGGTTGTTCTTCCTTATGCACGGTCGTCAGGGCCTTGTTGGCGGGCGCGTGACGCTCGGACCGTCGCCAATTCGGGAAAGTCAGTCGGTTGGATCGCGTCAAGAAAAGTGCCGTTTACAATTTCTTTCGTAGTCCATCCGGTTATTTACACGCTTTATAACTTCTTCGTTACTTATTACACGCGGATACGCTGCACGATTCATAGAAGTTTCACTTTTACATTGCGACAAAGTATATCGTTACAGCGTACAAAGTGTATTACTCGTTTCTCGTACACATCCATCCATTTGAATAACTTCTAAATAATGCAATCAATTCGTGAAATTCTTCTAATAGTGCCGCCGTTTAGTCGTAAACGCGTCAAATCCGCCGTCTACTTATAACGGTACCGAGACTCTCCCGATTGTTCGTAACTGTTTCGAGAACCGATATCCGAATAACTAGACTGCGGATCTTTAGGCGAAATCAAAAACTGCCTACGTCGATTGTACGAAACGTGGGGTTAAACGATTACGTATTCGAATACTTTCGACGCGTTTGAAAATAAGCGCGACAAGAATTCTCGCATCACTCCAACGTCTTCGCTGTTCCGTATTTCGCTCGCCCATTCTTGCCACAAATGCATAAAATCCGCAGTCTACCACCGATGTAACTTTTGTTCCCCGATTTCGGACGATCACGATACACCCTAAACGTTCATCAGCGTGGAAGTAACGCACGGGGGTGAAAAAAAGAAGATGAGCGAACCGACGATCCACCCTAATAGATACACACTTGTTAAACGCAATTGTAATCGCTAGTTGTTCTTGTCACGCGACGACGATCCCTCGCGACTATCGCGAGAGGATCGTCGTGGATCTCGTGAGGCACGTGTAGGCCGACACGTGTAGACCATTTTGCAGTGTGTTGCACACTTGTATGTCAAAGATTCTCCGGGGCTTGAACGTTCGCCCCGGATCAGACGGATATCCGAATGAATCGATCTATTCGAATCGAATTGAATTCTCACCCCCCCTCCCCTCCCCTCTGACCGCATTCCAGAAACTGAAAAGGCAACGGAAAGCCAGACTGCGCGCGCGCGCGTGCGTTCGGTAACGAGAATCAATCAACCAATTAAACAACAGTGGCGTACGCCGCGGTTAAACAGTGTGTACGTGGGAGCGAAACGCATCACCGGAAATATATTCGTGTGTATCTATGTACTTTCGCTGGCTTCGATTAACATCTGAATCTTATTTGTTGTCTCCCTTTCACACCCTCGCTTTGATCATTCGCATTCTCGCTATCTTGCTTCCTCGCACTCTCTCTCTCTCTCTCTCTCTCTCTCTCTTTCTCTCTAGCGTTCTTTCTCTGTCTGTTTCCTATTCTACTGCACAGCCAAACACTTGCTCGATCACTCGGCCTCGAAGCTTCGTTTTCAAAACCTCCTCGATCACGCCTCTTCTCTCGCATAGTCGATGCAAACGACCGCGATTGTTACCATTGGTACGCTACGGACACGATCGAACGGTTCTCTCACGTCTCACTTGTAGCACGATAGCGCCTCGAAAATCGCTCGTCCTCGTTCTAATAAAATCCCCGGCTCGATCGCTACCTTTTAACTGTATACGCCCGCAACAACGATTCCTCGGACGTTCCCGGGAAACGTGTCTCTCCGTAACAAGCGGACTGCGGATCTTTATGCAAATGTTTACAGCGGATCGGAATCGAATCGAAACTCGACTCCGAGGATCTTGTTGAATCTTAACGTGACCGGACAATCGTGTCTGTCGCTGCGAACGCACGCAAATCCGCGGTCCGAAATGGCCGAGTGATTTTCGAGGCACTACCCGGTCTGTTCCCTTCACGAATGATCCATCGTTTTTGCTCGATGTATCGATCACGATTTTCCTATCTAGCCCGGTCAACGGGTTCTCCGACAGCTTCTCGAACTCCCTGTCAACGATCACGCGATTATTCGACTGCGGATGTTTATGCGGAATGAAAATTGCTCGCATTTAGTTTCGAGGTACAGGAGCTACGTAGACATTTCTTTCATTCGTCAATCGTTTTATCGACTTGAACGCGATACAACGGTATTTTTAAATTGTTTAAACGTTTTCCACTTATTTGTATGAGATCTCCTCATTTTTGTCATAAATGCATAACATCCGCAGTATAGTGACTATAAATCGTTTTGTTATTTCCATGATCGGGTCACGGATCTTTGCGCCGAATTAAAACTGAAGGAACTAGAAGTTAGACGAAAGCGCGCCTTTGTTCTTTCGATCTTCGAATCGTTTTTCCTATAAATTCGTAAAATGTTCGCAGAGGCGACGAGCCGCAGGGTTCGCGCGATCGCTGACAGGAGTTCCTTTCATCCGCGCGCACTCGCCATGCCAAATCCTCTCGTACGTCACGGCTCTCCCTTAATTACAATCGTGCATTGGCAAACGAGCATCGCTTAAGTCGCTAGAACGATCGAAAGGAAACCAGAAACAAGAAAATAAGAAAGACACTCGACTTCGAACGACACTTTACAATGATCACGTTATTCCTCTAGGGATGACATGCAGCGTATAAAACATATCTTATCTATATATATTTATTTTTTACTGCTTTTTTCCATTTTTTGTTAATATATATACCTTTTCTTCCTCGTACGTATACACACATATATACGCGTTCACGTGTGTGCATATATATATGTATATATTATAGTATACGTATACATATACATATATACAATACATGTATATACGTATCAACGTGTGTTGTGAGAGTGTGTGTGTATATATATGTATATGCATACATATGTATAAGTACATATATACATATACATATCTAGTTGCTTCATCCGGTATTCCGTTTACACGCTATATATATTAAATATACGCGGTGTTACGTTCTTACGCGCTAGCAAGGATTAACAATCGATACTTTTCCCGACCGTTCCTTTGTTCTTTTCTCATCGGAGAAAAAAAAATGTCGACGAGACGACTGGTCGTCGACTGTCGCCGTCGTCGTTGTCGTCGTCGTGCCCGTGGCTGGCTCTCGACTCGTCGAAACAACGGGAAGGATAATATAGAAACGGAGTGCGCCACGCGATACTATCGTTTCGCGAGCTATTGCACGTGTCGTGGGAAGGGTGTGTTGTGTATGTCCGTGTGGGAGGGCGGCGTGGGGGTTGGACCGTGTTTTGTGACCCTTTCAAAAAACTCGAATCTGGTCTCGATCAAAAAATCCCGCCGTCTGATCCCCACCGCGCGCGGGAAAGGCCGTTTCCTTTCCTCCATTCCCGTCCGAAGTATCCTCGCTACGACAAGAAAAATATATGTACTGTATGTATGCTACGTATAGCCGACATGATTCGCATCAGCGAAAATAAATCACACATCGATCACGAACCCGAACGAACTCGTTGCAAGACTCCTCCTACCGCGCGCTGCCATTGGCCGGGCCGCGTGGGTCCCGGGCTCCCGCAAGCCGCGCCCACGCAAGCCACGCCCACGCGCGGCTCTCGCCGATTACCGCGCGGTTCACCCGGTATAGAAGCGGAAACGAGACCGAGGGCCGTTCGAGGTTCCTTCTCCTGCTCGGAATTAGTTCGCCAAGGTTTTGTCTCGTTGCTGAATTATCAAGATTATTGCTACATTCTTGGGCTCTTTCTCTAGCCTATCACAATTTAGTGTTGACGCCTAGCATAGCTTCCGATGCTGCTAGGTAGTATCTATCGTTCGCATCTACCTATTATGAGTCACCGGGGCAAATGAGCTTTTTCGTCTGATAAAGAAACGGAAGTTACTTATGACTCCATCTGATAGTTCAGGTCACCTAATTATCCTCTTCAGCTGCTTCAGAAATTACGGATTCGAAGCTCTCGCGTTGCGCGCGATTGAAAGGAAAGATCGACGAAGCAGCGAGGAACAACTATGAACATCTTGAGAAAGGTCCTGGCCGAAAGTCGGTCAGACACAGCTAGCTAAAATTAGAAGACGAAATAACCTTGACAGGCTCGATAAAGCTCGAGAATTGAACCGGATACTGCACGGATATCCTTGAAGAGGAACCGGACTATTATCGTGGATTAGCCGGCGAGAGTGAAGCCCGAACGACCGACGGTCCCTCCGCACCTAGTCTAGTCATCTGGCATCAGGTTTCAGCCTTCGCGTTCTCCGGACAGACTTCGGATCCGGATTATCGCGTCCGTGTCCCGCGTTCATCTATTCCGAACAGTTTTGTGCATCGCGTGCACCCGTCACGAAGGGGTCAGGGATGGGCGTGTGAGAGGGATTGGGGAGGGGCCATAGAACGAACGAGTAGTCGCCTGGAGGTCTTGCTGTCACGGTTGTCCAGAAGAAGGCGACCCCTGCCTTTCTCGGCGAAGGTCGCGCATGCTCGTTGGAAACACCTATTCAAATGGTATGAAAAATTATACGAATTCAAATATGGCTACTTAAACGCTGTAAGCGGGCTCTGAGGCGCGAGCCGTGGCAGCAAGAGCCGAGGGAATGCCGGGCCGTGAAAGCCTCGAGTCTCCGACTTTTCCTTAGTCACCAAATCGCAAAGTCACCGAGCCACCAGCGCCGCGAACGATTCCCAGAGGAGCCGTCGACGTCGGCGCCGACGTCGACGCGATCCTCGCCTCGTTTACACGGCTCCCGAAACCGCCACCAATCCGTAACCTAGGCTTAAAAAGTAAAAGGGCGGCCCGGCGAGTCGGTCCCGCCGGGCCCTGAAGTGAATCGGTTTCAACGCATTAACGCTTTGATTCGTTTTGTCAGTCTGTGCTCTCCTAGTCCATGACAAGTTACAAAACAAAAGGGAACGGGGGACAGGGAGGATAGAACCAGGGGTTGAGAAGCTTCCGAAAATAATCGTTTCGAATTGTTACGTATATCCGGTCTGACTGAAATGGTCATCGAGAATCGAAAAGATCTCGTAATTGTTATAGTGTATAACTATACTTGTTTAACAATTATTTCTCGGTTCTCAGCGTACAAAGTATTCGTACACCGTATGTCTGATTTTCAACGAATCGACGACACACGAACTGTTACGGTTTCGTAAAAGCGTGTCGTACGACAATAAACCTGGACTCATTTTAAAGCACGAAGCTTCTACTTGTGCTGTGCATAGTTCATTTTCCTGTAACATGTTTTTTCTTGATGTAACAGGTGGGAAACTGGAGATATGTTCTTACCGAGAAAAATGTGACGGATTGTAAGGTCTGTGAATACATCAGAAAAATTTTTTTCTCGACCGACCGTAACAGAGATTTCAAGATTGAAACCTCCTTTTTACAACTACCCCTTAAATTTTGATATACGATTTTTTTTTAGTCACTTTATCGAACTTCGAACGAAAGGTGCGCTTCACCGTAACGCGACGTTCGCTGCCACACGACCGAACTTGTTTGTCGTTTCTGTTTCATAAAACCACTAAAAAAATTCGTACATGCAGTTTCGAGAGATCATGCTGAAAGGGAAGCTTCAATCTTCAAAGCTGTGGTCGATTTGTTAGGGAATAAAATTTGTCAATGGTTTTAGAGACGTTCAAAACTGAGAAAGAAGTTATAAAGAGAGTAGAATATCGGTTCCGAAGAAGCGAAACCGCTCTTGTAACAGTCGCGAGATTTTTTCGGTTCTCCATAACTGTTTTCAAAAACCGTAACCGATATCGCAACCGTTCTCAACCCCCGGATAGAACCAAGGACCGAAGGGAAACAACAGCGAAGGGAGCGAGGACGAACGAAGACAGGGAAATATACAGATGCTCGGGGCCGTCGAGGAGAAATTACGTTTGGGTCTCGATACGGGCGATTCGAGGCCAGACTTAACTACGAATCGCCCTGAAATGCAATCATCTTGGTTCGAACGTGCCGCCGTTTTACGGCCGGCGGCCATTAACCCTCGGACGTCGACGATTTTCATGAACTCCGTGGACAACCGTGTCTGGGTCTGCTGCGATCAATGCTGATTTATCCTACAGGAAAAACTGTATCAATGAAGTAACACGTATTTAATCGCTGGACTGCGGATCTTCCTGCACAATCAAAATTGAATTTTGAACATCTTCACAGTTCTGTATCTACGGTACCCTCCCCCAATAGTTCGGCGGACAGAATTCCTCTCGATACATGAGGCAAGCGAAACAAACAAGCAACGAAGATTTGCTCGCTTACACGCTACTACTCCCCTCTACGACAAACTGTGTCTATGATTGTTGTGTGTGTAGTGAACGAACTGTCAGAAGAGTCGCTTTTAAAATGCATACGAAAACGAACACGCGTGCTCGATAGTGGAGGAAACGTTCGAACGCGATGAAGAACTATTCGAACTATTGGGGAGAATACTACGTGCTCGTTTCTGTCGTAAATGCGTAAAATCTGCGGTTTATTGTTCCGCGGATTATATGCACTTATGGCGAGAAAGATTAGATTAGACAGAAGACGGTGAGAGTATCGCAAGAGTTCCAATCAAATACTAGAACGATTTGTGTGAAGAGAGATTGTTTCCATTTCCTTTCAAAATCTCATCTGTTCATTGCATTAATTTTCAAGACTCTTTTGCAATGAATTTGAAAATATAAATTCGACGAAGAATTTCGAGATTTCCGCGTAGGAATCCGCAGGCACCGCGCGGCTTCCAAGAGATTTCATTACGGAGACAATCGACTACGAAATTTTGCTTCTCCCAGCGCTGGCGCGTCTGATCATGGTCGTCCGTTTCTACTTCTCGAAACAACTGAACGTACAAAGTCTCTTATCTCGGAAACGAAGCTCCTTACGATAAAATTGTGTTGCTTCTTTTCGACTCAGTTTTTCTCGTAGAATCAGCCGCTGTCATTTTCCACGCTGTTGACTCGGCAGCGTTCCGTACTTTCCTTTTGGGCTCTCTCGTGGACCCGACGCGAGCGATCGTCGATCGAAAAGGTCGAGAGATATCGCACGAAGGTATCGAGGATATCCGGGTCGCGACCGACCCGTCGTCCGAGGGTTAGACGCGAGTTGACTCGGACTCTCGTCTTCCCGGAGATGCGAAGATCCCCGTTGACAATCGATCAGCGGTCCCGTACGCGTTAAGTATGTGCTCGGCGGCGCGCGATGTCTCGAAGGGAAGAAATTCGGGGGCGTTTATGGTCCTCGCTGCGAATGAAACGCGCGCGGGGTAACGATCTCTGTCTGTCATCTTGTCTGTACAACTGTACTGGCTAACGAACGACTCTGTATATAACTACCGTCCCCCGCGAAACGGGGACGCGAAAAAGACCTGCGATTCTCTACGACGACGTTCGTGTTTATCTTCTCGTCGTTTCTTTTTTTTTTCTTTTTTTTGCGTTTTCGTTCTTTTCGCTCCTCGAAAGATTTTTCGGTAACTTTAAATCGATAACGTTTATAATAGGCAGTGTTCGTCGAGAAACTGCTACAGGAACACACATACTCGGCGCGACAGACGAGTATTCGGTAGAGTCCGAGAGTGAGATTTGCAACGCGTCGAACATCAATCGGCCCACTTTGTTGATAAACCGTGGACGTTTGCTTGGTGAGTCATCCGGGAGCTGCCTTCAGTCGCTTGTGAACGGAAAACGTTTGGTTCGACAACGAAGGATCGTAACGCGCTAATGATCCTTTAATTGCCTTGGTGCTTCATCGCGACGCAGTGGTCGCTTCGCCTTAAGTACAGCGGTGCGCATAATTATAGACGCTTCGGTAACTTTTGCATCGTTACCGATATCTAAACGTGAGAACTTAACGAATCATTATATTCCTATATTTCTATTTTCTATTTTGCTTCTAATATCGAAATAAGCAAATGCGATGTTCCTCGAATATAACTAAAAATGTAAAAGTTACTTCGAGTCTATAATTATTGACAACCCACTGCGCGTCTCAAGCCAAGTTCACCTTTGCGTCTCGAAAGCGCAGTCAGACAATAAAAGAACAACGATCGTGTTGCAAACATTCTTCTCTAACGCGAAACATTTATTTATAATTGACAAGCGATTGAAGGCGGAGGTGCCAGTTGATTCACTTCGCATCGAATGCGCGTTTCTCATCAACAGTTTCAACGTCTATAGCAGAAGAGAGGATTGCGTCGTACTAAAAAAATATATATATATATTATAGTATATATATATATGGATTGTATATACATACGCTCATAACGTTTATCTTTCTTTTGTTTCGTCGCGTGGAACATCGAGAACAGCGAGAAAATTCGGCCGGTCGATCGATCGATCGATCGATCGCCACCAGATCGGCCGTACGTGTGTCTAGGATCGGAACGTGTGCGGGAACGCGCGATGCACCGTTGCAGATGATCACGCATGCGAATGCACCCTTCGCGGACGGTTGACGCGTTTCTGCGTCAGACTCGCGACCGACTCGGTCAATAGGCAGCACATCACCCCCACCCTCTGAACGAACCAGCGGATGAAAAAACGTTCGCGCTCTCTCATCGATCTACTATCGTTCGCGTAATCGTCGATTTTTCGGGAGCACTCGTTTCAACGAAAACTGATTTCGTTTCTAGTAGCTTCTTCTCGAGTTGTCACGCACGTTTCGCGATCGATACCGCATAAAATACGAACGATCGATGCGAACCACCTGAAACCTGCTGGTCCGTGCATCGGGAACAATGTTGCATCGATTTCGCAACCGAGTTACAGCTAAGTATCTCTGCTGTTCCAGCAGAAGTTAGGGATGACTGACTCTCATCGACCGGTGAATTCCACGAACTCGTACGAAATCCAAACTGTCGAACCTCTTCGATTTAGGCGTCGTAGAATTCTCCTTCGACCTTGAACAGCGACCTTGTCCGTGGTCGCGAAACGTGTCTCCGCGATTTCGTGCAAGCTCTGTTCCACATTCGAGTTCTCTTTTTTCTACGGTAGAAACGAGCCGATCTGAACGCGTACGCGTGATTCGTCAGCGAAGGGTTGCTCAGCGAGGTAATCGAATGTCGCCCGGAATTTCCTTCCCCTCGAGGTGTCATCGACGGTCGCGTTGGCCGGACGACGCCGACGCCGTGTTGGAGAAACAACGGTTCTCGTCCGAGTAGAAACGGATGAACGGACCGCGCGGAATAGTTATCGAACAGCGGCGAGTATAGTAGTGAATAGTAGCGTCGATCAACAGTACGTTAATTACAGCAGCGGCTCTCTGTGTCCTTACGAGTGTACGTGTGTTACGAGGTTGTGTTTGTCTGTCTGTCTGTCTGTATGTACGTTCGTGTATCTGTGTGTCCTTCGTGTTCGTTCCTGTTCGTGTGAACGCGAGCACACGCGGGCGCGTCGCGTGGTGCCGCGTGCAACGGTAGCGGTTTTGGTACCGATTTCGAAGGATTCGCGATTCACGATGAGGCTACTTGTTTCTCTCACTGCGTTGACGACGACGCTTTTGCGGGCGGCTGCGGCTGGCTGTCGCTGTCGCTTGTCGCTGTCGTGTTTCCGGCTGACAGCCCGGCCGCTATTCCGGGCCGGACGAAGAGAAGAGAAGGTCCCACGGTCGCCGCGAACCGGCGATCACCACCGAAACAACTGCCCACCGGTCGTGTGGTACGTGTCGGACGAGTTTTACATCAGCGTCGCTCCGTTGCAGAATCACAGGATGACGCAGCACCGGCAGTATCGTTGCCGGGACGCCCCCGCGCTCGGCGGAGGTGTCACAGGCGCGAAGTACGCGTGGACCTTGATGTTCGGTAAATGCGTCTGCAATCAATCCGACGACACCCTGTTAGCTCCTTTCGTCTTTGCGAGGACCTCGCGAGGTTAGAGCCCTTTCGCCCGACGCTGCGATCGCAGCTCTCGCCTCCGGCGGACGAACGAAAGGGTGTTAATTATATTATCATTTGCCTAATTGTTTCAGGCTTTTGGACTCCGAGAAAGCGAAACGCTAAGTTGTGGCATAGATTTAAAAGGTGTACTCCTTCCACGAGTTTGATCTGGGTTAGCGAGTGGGGTCGGCTGTAGGAAAGGCTAAGGGGAGATCGTTGTTTCATCTGGCACGATGGAGGTAACGGGTACAGCAAGTTGGGAGGACTGCGGGGATCATAAATGGACTTTATAGTCTTCGTATTTACAACATCGTTAAACGGGAGAGATTCTGGACAAGAGGTTCAAAGACCTCCGATGGAAACGTTTCAACTCGGTGTTTGCTTTGTCATTAACTCACGGTCAATCAATACCGAAAACATTCCTGCTTTCCATGTTATACGATCTGTAGGATAGTGTAGCCAGTTACCGTCGCGTGACCAATTACCTTGGTTTGTTTTCGGAGATGATTAATTCTTTCATTTATTTATGTTCTAATAAGAAGTTATTTATACCCGAAAACAGATCGAAGGCACAGCAATTGGTCGCCCCACAACAGAGTTCGACGAATAGTAATCTGATCAGTGATCAACTTTGTTGGTTATTATAAATTATTATAGAATCGTAATAATAACTAACGAGTTGCAATCCTTGATCAGTAATGAGCAGACTGCGGAGTTCTATGCAAGATAAAAATTATCTGCATGAGTTGTAACATACGGTCTTGATAATTTTAACTATCCGAACCTAATGCAACAATTTTCTGAAATTCTCCAAATGATTTTTCAAATGGTTTTCGTCGCAGTCTGGCAACGAGATTACTTTTTCCTCAACTTTGTCCCACGGCTCCACTATCCGATTCGCAGAGACTGCAACCACGTGCAAAGTCTGCCTTTTAACTTCGAGATGCCCCACACATCGTTACCTCGGAACACAGATCGATCGGCAGCAGGCGAAAGGGAAATTGGTAAAAATTGGAGACATACTCTGAGTCTACGTATGCCGGCTCTAGTGATCAGTTGACAGTCGTAAAGCTCGATGCGCTCGAGATTGTGGCAGGCCTGTAGGAGGTGGTCGAGACTGGCATCTGTGATGAGGGGGCAGTTGTCGAGTTCCAGCACCGCCAGATGTTCAGCCGCACACGGCGAGAGAGCCAACTGCCGGATGCCTTCGTCGGTGATCAGCTCGCAGTGCGACAGACTCTGTTTTCAGAAACCAGTCGACGGAAATACTTTATTTTTCCATCCGCAAGATCGATAGTCGCTTTCGTAACATCGTGAGACGCGGGAGACGGTTCCATGCTGGAACCGCCACACGGTTCCGAAGCCGTCGTAGATTTTCTTTCTTCCGCGGCATCAAACCGTCTCGAATATTAATCGGTCCGTTTCGTTCGAACGAATGAACGATCGGCCTCGCATAAACGAACGCGAATCGTCCGACGTCGACGCGACCCACGTTATCGCGACGCTCGAGTCGCGTCGCAAAAACGCAACATTAATTTTCGTAACGTATTCCGTTCCAGCTGATAATGTCTATTTATAATGGCACGACGACGCGACAAGGTGCGATGCAAAGTGTGCCGCTCCGGCGAGCCATCGCGCACCGTTCCGGAGCTAACAAACCGAGACCGAAGATGAACATCGAAACGTCGGCTTACCAGCTTCTCCAATCTGGGACAGCCCATGGCCAGGTGAATGAGGGTGGCGTCTGTGATTAAAAGGCACTCTTCCAGGTCCATCTTCTCGAGTAGTCTGCAGTTCTGGAAACGATTCGTACCGGGGAAGCGGTCAGACGTTTACTAACTCGTTTCTCTAATCTCCAGAGATCCGACGACTCCCGGATAAGATCAAACGAGGGTTCACTTACTTTCGCGAGAGCCTGGAAGCCTGCATCGGTGAAGTGTGTGCAGGCGACGCACTCGAGGACGCTGAGGAGCGGACAGTGTTGCGCTAGCGTGAGCAGCGACACGTCCGTCAGATTCGGACAGTTCGACAAACAAACGTAGTGCAAACGTGGACACTGTTCGCTGAGCTCCTTCACCGCGTCGTCCGTTATATTCTGAAACAGGCTCGGTATCATCCTGCGTCTGGGTCGCTCCTCTCGAAGGGGAGCTTCGGTTCGCCGAGGTTGTCGAACGCCCTCCTCCGAGTTGAAGAGGATTGTCTAATGCTATAAACGCCCGAGCAGTTCGGCAACCTCAAACAACCTCTAACGCGATACAGTTCGATAAGCACCAGACCTTTAAGCGAACGAGCTGGTCAATTGGTCCCCGAAAAAATACCCCAAAGATAAAGTTTTCAAAGAAGTCTCTAAAACTGTTTCTAGAACAAGAACAAGCAAGCTTCCTGCTGCAGAAGCAAAACGAGAGCAAACTAAAGATAATTTGTTCTCGAAGGAGTCCCTAAAACTACAAGCTTCTCATTGTAGACTCTCGCAGGGGATACAATCGATCTCGCTTGTTCCAAAAGCCTGTCCTTATCGAGCACCGTGCAACGTTCGCGAGCCGAAGCTTGGATCTGCCATAAGTACCCTGCATTCGTGTAGATTGATCGCCTCGAGATTTTGGCAGAAGCGGGCCAAACACTTGACGGCTTTGTTGGTGAGCTGGCGGCAGCCCTTGCAGAGGAAGCTGCGCAGCTCCGGGCAGCCCCTCGCGAGCGCCTCGACGCCATTGTCGGTAAGTAACTTGCACCAGGACAGGTTGATGTGGGTGAGAAGGGGACAGCCGTCCGAGAGATCCTTGAGGGCGATGTCGGTGATCTCGGGGCACGAGTCCAGGTTCAGCCGCTGCAGCTTCGGGCAGTGACTGCTGAGGGCCGCGCAGGTCGCGTCCGAGATCTTCTTGCACTGGCTCAGGTTCAGCTCCTCGATGTTGGGACAGGACTGGGCCAGGGTACGCATCGAATTGTTCCCGATGCTCTGGCAGCCTCTCAGGGACAGCTGCCTCAGGAAGCCGCCGCATCGTCTCGATATATTCTCTATAACTGGTCCCTGAACGATTCCACAATGTTAAACACCAAGACCCTACAGTCTAGCTTGGCTTGTTAACGCGTCGCTCGCCACGCGCGCTTCCTTAGCTTGGTTATCACATTTTTCAAATGTCCGTAGAGGAGAACATTCGAAAGGGAGAGGCATCTCTATGGACAAAGGCTGCCAGTAATATTTGAGATGAGATTTTAAAAACATCTGTTCTCATAGTAAAGCAAGTAAACGTAGGAGAAACTGATTGCGACACTATGCATCGTTGTAGTACAAGGACTGAACTTTCGAATATTGATAAAGATTCGACGGCAGAGATTTCGACCGCATATTTCCGGTGAAGGCGGTCTTAGTCTGCGACCCTAGCGCGATTTAGGGACAAGGGTCGGATAAGATCGGCGGCAGATATGCCGAAAGAAGGTGCACAGACGGCGAGCAACGCGTCAACGGTTCGATTTACCTCAACATCCCGTTGGAAATCGAAGAGATCGATTCGCTGCCAATTGGACCCGTCCAGCGCCAGCACGTTCCAGGCTTTGCTCACTTGCGCGCACCGGCATAGCGACACCACGTCCAGATACGAGAGAATTCTATCAATCGTATGGCAATCGTGTTACTCGGTGGCCCGGCCTTAATTTAACAGTCTATCCGCGCTCAATAAGAAGAGAAATAGATACCCGGTGTCGATAGGCAAAACGAGAAAGAGAAGAGTGAAAACAGGACAATGTTATGTTAGATATTCGAATCGTCGAAGTGTAGGATCGAAAATAAACGTGTGTATACGCTTACGGTACCTAAGCAGCAATTCTTTTGGCAGTTTCTTATTAATCTGCGCCTCGTCGTCATGAAACACCCATGTTAGCTGCAACCAAAAAGAGAAACAGACACCGGTCAGATCCACGCTCGTTCGGAATCACCTGTGTGAGTTTTCTGACGGACTTTCTTGTCGCGGACGATTAACGATCGGGCCGACCAATCACAACGATTCTCAAGGTCAGGCACAACAATTTTTGTCTAATCCGCCGCGGGTGGAATTGCTGCGCACCTCGTCGACAATCTCTCGCTTGTGCTGTATTCGAGAAGAGCTGCGCATCGACAGCGTTTATTTGCTGAATTTCTAACAATACCTGAAACGATTTTATGCGATGTTCTCCAACGGTTTCCTCTTCTTACGATTACATTTACGGGGGTTTCTGATCGAATGCCGAAGCGTTCGGCACCGTCTATTCAGGGTGGGTTCGGCTGGCTAGGAAGTTACCGTATCGACACGCTCGTTGTGCTCGCTCGAGACGAAGAAATTGTAAAGGCAGAGGTGGTTGGTCGACATTTATGGCATTCGAAGTGCAGCACCGAAGGCCATTGCAGAAAATCGTTTCGAAGACTGTTTCGGAGAAAGGGGTCGGATGGCGGCATCGGCGGCCAGCGTCCCGAGGGAGCTAGCTCGAGGATGGCCGAGCTGACATTCAGCAACTAGGTTGCCAGCAATTTTCGCGGACTTCATTGTCGGGCCTCGTACGATCAGCGGCTATACACGTGGACCAACCTGCATGTAAGACTGCTTCATGGTAGTGACGGGGTTGTTGTGAGTGTGCGATGGCAACGTGTAATAACCGGCCTGGTGATGGTAATGGTGATGGTGTTGGTGATGATGATGATGATGATACGATGGGTGCTGTTGCCTCCACCACTGACCGCTCGCGCCGGACTCCTCGACCGGTTGCACCCCTTGCCCGACCTGGCCCCCTCCTCCCACGCCCACGCGACTTACTTTTTTCTAAAACAACGTAGCATCGTCGATCATGCGACACCCCGGTCTATCCGAAAAACCGATCGCTCGGCGCAGGATCAAAAGACGCGCGCGGTTTCGAGCGAATTCCTTCTGTTTTGAGGGATGAAATTGGATGGAAATTATGGAGAAATTTTGGAGAAATTCAGGGGAAATCTTGTGGACCTGGAACGCTCCTTCCGAGAAAAACATACTCGTTCTAGCTTGGCAGACCGCATCGAATTTGCATCAACAGTGAGACAAGATTCAAGCGGTATGATTGAAAAGGAACTAGACTTGATTTTGGCGGGCAAAGTTTTCGAATACCTGGGAAAATTTCCGTCAACACTCGAAATTGACTCTATCGATGTTACTTTTTGTCGAATCAGGAGACGTTTAAACGATCGCGACGAGACTGGGCGCGTGTTGAGTCGCTTGGAAGACACTGAATCCGAGATTCCAACGTAGGAGCCTTCTCAGAGATTCTGGGCTAAGTGCCGTGACAGTCCTCGTAGAAAAAGGCAGCCCACTCCGAAAGATAGCCGGAGCTTCTAGGAACAATGTCCTTATTTTTCGAGCAACCTCGAGCCACTTTCGAGCAATCGTTCCAGCGATAACCGATACTGGAACGACCAATGATCACCAGCCCGACGACAGCTCTAGTTGATCCGACTCGGACGCTAAAATTCTCCAGCAAATCCGTCCGAATCTCCTTCGATTTTCCCGCTAATAGATTCTACGAATAATAAATAAGTCGCAGACCAGTCGATTCTCCCTATTCATGGATTTTTCGAGAGCAGCCTAATTTAAGAGACCCTCGGGCGTCCATAGCTGGTTACATTCGAATCGCGCGACAACGACGAACCACGATTCCGAACGTTTCCGTGGTTTCGCGATGACGAAGGACCTCGGCCACGGTGTCCAGAGCGAGGAAGCTCCGTTGTCAGCTGCGAGGTCGAATGAAAAGTAGATCGTTGCTGATCTCGAGCCGTGCATCGAGCCGGTCGAGGCGAGAAAAAGTGAAATGGAACGGCCGCGGCCGGAACATTTAAAAAGTAATCGCAACACACGGTTCTCGTATCGATCTCCTCTATAAATAACCTTTCGCAGCTTCAGGATTGATGCTGCTTCAAGAATCGCGACCTCGGCTTTTCGACAAGAGCGTCTCGAAGACGAAGAAGCAGCCCTTCGAAGGGCCGGCGATTTTTCACGGAAATCGTCATGATTTTTCTGGAGCCACCAGTCAACGACTCGAACTCGCGTTTCGATACAACCCGTGAGCTTCGATGCTTTTCATTCTAATTTCATGTTCCATGGCACAGATTTCGATATCAATTCTCCTCGATCGATAAGAACACCGTCAATCAAAGGGCTAGTTTGCGTCAGCCTTTTCGATTGCGCAGTGCATTCCGAAAGAGCAAGGCCGCCAAGGCCACGCGCAGCTGAGCGCACGTTGCATCATCGCTGTTAACAATCGACGATAAAGCGGTTTATCTGCGACTTGCTCTTGAAATGTATCTTCAAGATCGCGCCGTTATCTGGCCGGATGATCTCTCAGATCAGGCCGAGGATTATTCACCTTGCCCCTGTGTCTTCCTTCGTGGACAAGCCTCGTCTCCAGCAATTAGCTTCCGCTTTAAATCTGTCGGCTTCAATTGTTGGCCGTGCAAAATCTACCAGAGTTATTTGCAAACAGCTCCGATCGTTATTATTAATATTATTATTATTTATTAGCAAACGAGCTGGAAGCCCATTGTGCACAGTGGTGCGCACAATTATAGACTCAAAGTGACTTTTACATTGTTAATGGCGTCTAAACAAAAACTGTACAAAATACCATATGTGTATATTTCTATATTAGAAACGGTAGAAAATAGAAATATACGAATATATTTTGTTAAGTTTCGTTTTATATGCAGGGCGAGTCAGTTATAGGAAATCACTTAGAGCGTTGTAGATAGTTACAAACTCAAAGTAACTTTCACATTTGAAAGAACTGGATTGACGATTTTCCTGGGCGTGTTGTTTCTCACACGCGATACTGGAAAATATCCATTAATTATATTTCCAAGTGAAATGATACAAAATTTCAAAGACATGTGTTCGAAGAATGTTATTCTTGTTTTACACCCCGTTCAGTCATCCAGTGGGCATGATGTATTTAGCGAATCTCAAAAATTGTTTCGACCTTTGCGAAAACGCCGATGAATGTCTCATTCGTCTAACTTCACCGCGGGTTTTACAGGAGGGACAATCGTCCCGATAAATTTAATGTGAAGAGTCGATTTCCGAGCGCCGAAATGGCATCTCGCGCGGGAATGCAGCGTCCTCGACGCGAGAAATGATCCGTGTCGAAAATAGAATTCCGAAATATTTTTCGCGTCGCTGCGTTTTTCCTTGTCTTTCTACATCCCTTCTTCTTCCCTTATGTAACCGTTTTGGTTGCGCGTCGCCGCTGGGAGGTTCAATTTCGCGCGTTTCTCCCGCCGGATCGTTCCTGTTTCGAGTTCCCCTTTGAATCTGCGCGCTCCATCCCCCCCCTCCCCGCCACGAAATTTCGCGGCTCGTTTTCGTATATTGCACTCTATTACTGAAATCTCTCTCCTCCTTAACTCCTTTCAGCTGCTCCATTATTCAAAAATGCACGCGGAGTCCTCCGCCTCGAGCTCTCCGGCCCATGGCGGTTCCCGAGCTGGATCGTTTCGTTTCGTTTCTTTTTCTCCGCGAACCGCCGGTAATTATCATAATCGCGCTCGTATGCTTCTGCGTCTGCCTCTGCACGATTGTCGTTTCTCTCCGGCCGCGGATATTCCGCTCACGCTTCCATTATTTCCATGGCGAATCCCGTGCACGTATCCGATGCAGAATTGTTTTTTACAGCGTGCTTCGATTTCGATGGAACACCAGCTGCAAGTAGAATCGGCATGCGATGGTCAGACACGGTTTGTCGAGCTCCGCCGAATCGATGCGACGCGATTCTGACCGACAAAACAGCACGCGCGAATCCGGGGATCGGGAACCGAGGGGGAACAAAGAGTATGGCACAAATAACGCAGCTCCTCGATCGGCGATTCAGATGACCCGAGAAAAGGCTGGGAACAAAGATAACGAAATTCAGAGACCACAGGGATGCAAATAGTTCGGAATCGCGACACAGATGCAAATCGATCGCGATCGAGTGGAAGACTAAACAGAACGTGATACAAACAACGGATTCTCCTGCTTGGCGACGCGGATCATGGTGCGCCAATGGGGTGCAGAAAACTTGGGAACGCGAACAGCTTAAGAGATGGTTACGGTCTAGAACTTTAAAAACGTCGATGTTTCTTTCCCGTTTGCGCTTTCTGTGACACTTCGAGAAAACGTAGTCGAAAGAAAATTTCGAAATTCTAAGAATTACCAAAGATAAGGGCCTTTAAGACTATCTACGCTCACACAATCCAATTATACTTCGTGCACATTTCTTTCCCCCTCGAGATTCTTTTTTCATACTTAAATTTCTTCTTTAGTTTCAAGTTTTTATATTTTATCCGCCTTTGTGCGTAACTGCTACATTAATGTTACTTTCTCTCGCCGTAACAAAGGATTTATCCTGTCGATAAATAAATTTATTAATGTCATTACCATTATTGTTATTATTAAGTGGAAGATCGTAAGAGAGTGCAATGTGGCACGAATGCATTTTTGCCCGTTGCTTCTCGAGGGTTGTTCCAAGGATGCTGAGATCATCCTGACGAAAACGAGGTAAAACCGGGTTCGGAGGAGACGGATACACCGGACGAGACGAGTGCATCGGATGGCGGGGAAACTCGCGGGCTGCAGCTTGATAATGCACGCGGCGCGCGCCGATTCTGTTTACACGGCCCCGCGAGCCAGCCAGCCAGCTCGTTTGTTTTCCCTCCAAATCGGACATAGCGCTGCCATCCGACGAGAATGCAACCTGGGTCGTGGTCACGATCGACGATCCCGCCTGATACTGTTTCTAGCGATCGACGATCCTATCTGACAGCCTTCTCGAAGATCGCGAATCGTTCAGCCGGCGTAGAAGGTCCCTGCAGTTCAATGCCTCCCTCGTTTCCTCGAACGTTCGTTGTTGGCCCTCGTGATTAGCACGACGGTATTTTACTAACAACACTTAATCATGTTAAATACCTCGGTATTACTCTCTCTTTCAGCTTATCTTTCAAAACACATTGCGAACAAATTATCACACGTAGTCTCGGCTCGCTGGATTCATTCGTAAAGCTTCCGAATTAATCAACAACACCAATATACACTTAAAAGTCTTTACTGTGTTTCGACAAGGGCTACTTTTGAATATGGCAGTATCATTTGATCTCAGGCTGATCAAATTGATTCATCGCTTTGCAAGCCAGGCGCGGTAGTAGTCCGATGCCTTTTGTCTCACATGGCTATGAAGTTAACTCAATTCATTTGAAAATATAAATCTTCAAACGCTGCATAATAGAAGAGAAATTGCCGATATTTTGTTTGCAAGTAATGGAATCAAAGATCATGTTTTCTCTTCAGGAATTATTCATCCTAATCACTTTGCTGAGCTTTATAGGCGATAATTATTTCTCTTCTTTAATGTTTCTTTTAGAAGATAAATTTATTATTTTATTTATCGTATATATATTTTATTTATTACCTTCTCTTGTATTAAAGGGTTTCTCCCACGAATAAATAAATGGAATGAAACGAAATGGTCACAGTCTTCCGATTTGCTCGATAGGTTTCATTCCCGCACCTTGAACGTTCACCAATCCTCTTCTCCCGGATATTGTAAAACATTTTACGAGATGTGTTGCTTCGGAGTGCAACGTTTCGGATGAAACACGAGCTGTCGACGCAGAAATGGGCGAAGCATTATCTCGGGATGTGGTTGTGTTGTACTGTCATCAAAAAATTCTCCTGCCGCGACGAATCAGTTGAATTGTCGCATCTGACCATTCGCCGATCCTCGTTCCCTCGATATCGTGAAACGTTCGTCTTCCAAGGCGCATTTCTTCAAAGCGTGACGTTACATGTAAATGAATCATGATCCGACGACGAACGGATCATTCGATGATGCAACGAGAGAATGATCAAAGCCGTAGAATTCGTCCTAGGATCCGACGCGGTTTAATGAATTTTAAATGGAACAAGTTGGCGGCGGTGTCTGATTATCGGTTATCAGAAAATTCGCTTGCTGTGATCAATAAGGTCGACGACTCGTGTTAAAGGGATATTATCTAAAGAACGAAGATCCAAAGTGACGAGGAGACTTTTAAATAGAACAAGCTGATACCTACCGCTGTCTACTGTCACAGGGGTGGATCACCCCCCAGTCAGTTTGTTAGGCGTTAGACAGATGACACAACCGAAGCCTATCGCGCCCTAAAGCAGTGTTTACCAAGTTACAAGCCCCTTGAAGGGTCTAGTCTTTCCTCTGAAAGAAGGAAACCGTTAGGTTCGAGGCACTACCATAAAATCCAGCCATCCTAGCGGAACTATGTTCGTCCACAAAATCGTGGCGAATTGTTTTTTGAAGCCGGACCGACTCCAAAGAGAAAATAAAAGGGTCAGCAGCCCTTGCAGCGCTCTTCCACCCCCCCTCTCCCCGGGGGTAAACATCGTGGAAGTTCAGAACAAATTTTCCAGTCGATCGACCGCAACTTCCATTGTGTTCTGCGGCCGCGTTGCTTATGATTTCCGCAGGGGACGACGGTGTTGTTTCCGTAGGCATAAGCGAACCCAAACAACACGGCCAGACGAGCGGCCGTGGTTGCGCGTGCACCGGGGTTTGTTGTCGGAGAGAGAAACAAAAACGGAGGAGTGATCCGCGAAGAAGAATGGTCGATTTCGGTCTGGAGGTTCGACTGTCAACCGGCGAGAAGGACAACGCTCATTGACATTCTAATAGCGCGTAACGATCGACGATGGAGCGAGAGAGACGGGGACAGAGACGGATAGAAAAACAAAGGATGGAGGGAGAGAGACCGACGGACGGGAGAGACAGAGAGCGAGGAAAACGGAGAGAGTGGATGCGAGATATAACGGAGAGCATTGGAGAGATAGAGACGGGTACGGACGGAGATAAATCAAGGCGGACAGAGAAAGAGAAAGTGTACGACTCGGAGAGTGAGCGAGAGGAAGAGAAAGAGAGAGAGGGTGAGACATGGAAACACGGAGCCAACGAAAAGACGATGCCTAGGAAAAACGGGTCGAAACACGATGGTCCAGTGGTCCGTGTACAACGATCGCCGACTCGAAATTTGAAAAATGCAAGGGACACGGTGCGGCGGGTTGCGCGGGGGAGGGGGGACAATAGAGGGGTAGCATCTCGTCGGCGATGACGACAGTGTTGCCGGGGACGAGAAAACGCGAGAACGACGGAAAGGAAGAAAGAACGAAAAGAACAAAGAACTGAGTCGACTGGTTGGTTGGTCGATCAGAGAAACGGAGAACCGAGCTGGTTGGATAGAACGAGACGGAGCGACGAACGCTCGCCGATAGATGGAGAGAGATGGAGCGAGAGACACGCATAGCGACAGAGGGGGAAAGAGAGCGAGACGGAGGTATATACGCGGAATGGTAACGATGCGAAATGTAAGGAAGCCTTTAGAGCTGTCCACGCAGAGAGGGAGGAAGACGGAGCGAAGCGGGGGAGAGAGCAGGAGAGAGAGAGAGTGAGAGAGAGGGATGGAGTGACAGAGAGCGAGGGAGAGAGAGAGAGACACACACACACAGAGAGAGAGAGAGAAAGAGAGAGAGAGAGAGAGAGTGAGAGAGGTGGAGTGACAGAGAGCGAGAGAGAGAGAGAAAGAGACAGAAAGCTAGAGGACAGAGAGAAAGATAGAGAGGAACAGAGGACAGAGCGTGTGTCCCAAAAGATTGTTTATCGAAGCAGCGACGGATAAGCTTGCTGTGTGACGGAGCGGAGATAACGAGCGCGAGAAATCGTTGCCAGGCAGCGGACTGGTGGCCAGGGGAGCGGATCAGCTGTTCGCCTCGGCAATGACAACATTGGACACACGCACGAGCGAGCCTCGGCCTGCCAGCCAACCAGGCCCCCGAGCTCCGGTGCTCCGGTCCTGGGGGCCCCTCTCGACGACGGAGCCGTCCGCGCGACCGTATCGAGGAAATTCGGCGGGCCAGTTTCGGGTCCCCGGTGCTAGTTTCTCTCTCTTTCTCTCTCTGTCTCACCGCTGTCAGATTTCACTACCGAGCCGTGCGTGCGTGTGTGCGCGCGCGAGAGACTCTCTGCTCCGTTTACGGCCGACACGGAGGGACACTTACCTCGAGCCTGGTGCGCCCGGAGTGTATCATCCTTTTGCGTCGCGTTATCTTGCCAAGCTTCCCGGGAGTACCCGCACTGTCGTCAACGGAGAAACAAAAATATACGTCGCGGCCGAACCAGTCGCAAGAGAAATGGCCGAGTCTACTGAATATGAGCCGTGCCGCCGTCACCAGTATTTCTTGGGATGGGGAGCGGGACGAGGGAGGGGGGATGAAAGGACGACCGATGCACTTTCTGCTGTAGCCAGGGCTTGCTCGTCGACGATTGGCGGAGGGACCACGACTTGGCGACAGTGCCGCCAATCCGGCGTCGTTCAGCCATTGTTTACACGGTTCCGATTGGACCAGTATTTTTGGGGGAGAGCCTTGCACGGCGAGGCTCGTGCACCGATGGAGCTGCACCGATCGCAGTGGCATCCGTGATGCACCAGGGAAACGCGACTAACAGCTGCGAGCAACCGTAGTATCAACGGTCGACTCTCGCTTTGATCTCGGCCGACACGGTGCCGCGCCGCGTCGCTTTTACGTAGACCGCCGTATTATCGACTCATGATGCAGTAGATTCAGCCGACAATGGCCAGACAAGAGCGCGCTGTTCGCATTCGCAAAAAATGATTGTCACTATTGTCGATCGATCTTCTCGTTTAAGCTTGCTACACGAATCCGTGTTCTCGACCCGCACGAACGCTCCAGCAACGTGATTGCGGTCTCAACTGCAACAGATTAAATTGTCCAATGTACACTTTGTTTAAAATACAACCGCAATGTCGGACGTTCGCGTTGCGTGCTGTTTTTTCAGCAGCTGAATGTACGATCGATGCAGTCGCATGTAAGGTCGCTAACGTACGTAATCGCGTACCGATCGATGCACGTTTGTTCAGGATGATGGTCAACGTCGTGAATACCGAGTGAATTGAATCGGCCACCGTTTTATATTATACGACAACAATTTTAGGATCACAACACGGCGCGTAGACTGCATTTCAAAATCCCAGTTCTAAGATCTTCGTGCTCTTCAAATTTTTGACTTAGAACGCCTCATATTCGGTTCGTATCCTAATATATGTACATATTAACCCTTTGCACACGAGTAGTGACTCTGAAACACCACTAAAATTGTTATATCACGTTGCAAGATAATTTAACGGGATAATAACCGGGACAAACGAGTTTTTGTTTTCATCAAATAGACGAGGATTCGAAATAAATGAAATAGGAAAAGAGAAATAATAAATAAAAAAGAAACAAAATGTCTGATAAAGAAATAGAAGTTATTTATGACTCGATATAATAAAAAGAAATCTTAATCCTTCGACTGGGCTTAGCAACAGTCTGGAAGTGGACAAAAAATGCGTCACCGTCACTTAAAAATATCTTGTGTGTGTGTGTGACCTTTGTATTTTGCGAATTCGTTATTATCCATCGCTTTTATTCCAAGGTATTGCATTATCGTTGTATCGGTGCTTGTAATCAATTAGCATGATTGCCATTCGATGTTGAACAATAATAGCGTTCGAACATGAACATACCGAGCTATGATGTTCCTGTGATTCCGAAAGGCGGTCAAACGGAAGATAAGAGGAACAGGGATCTCGAATTTCGTCGGACGTGCATTCCAAGTGCATGAGTTGTTTGGGGGCGATGTACTAAATTATGAACGAATCAGAATAGGAGGGGCGTCGGCACGAAGTTACAGTATCAGATATGATAACACAATATGACATTACTCAGATAAGGTACTTCGGTTATAAAAGTCAATGATTCCCGCCCAATTTATTCGTATTGCCTAATATAATTGACGCAACCAGACTGTTGCAGGACCGGACGAACGTTTTTTCTCAACATGAGAGGTAAGACGAATTTTCAATCATTGGGATCGAAGAATCATCGGCACAGTGAATCTTTAAAGCCAGATCGGATGCAAACAGCGTCGCAAAACTAGAGGGAAAAGAAATAATGACCGGAAGTTGTCAAACTTGTCGGGTGGTCGAGCCGGTTACAGTGGGGTGACAAATTGCTTCGTTTGTTTTCGGGCATAAATAACTTTACATTTATCAAATAAGACAAATGAATTTTTTAAATTTTGTTTACTTCATTTATTTTCATTTAAAAATGTTTTATTCGATAAATATAAAATTAATTATGCCCGACAACGAACTAAAGGCACAGCAAATCAGTGACAATGACTCGTTTTTGATTCTTTTCTTTTACAGTTCCTGATGCTATAGAAATGTTTTCGTCAGAAATTTTTTTACGAACTTTTTCATTCAAGCATACATTATAATACGAATCGTAGGAAGTATACATTAGTCTTGTTTGGGTAGTTCTAGCATTAAGGTCATCTTTCGGACAATAGCACAGCACAATGGTAGTTTGGTGTGGTAATCAAGGTGGGAGGGGGCGGTGTTCGTCACAAGTCGAGTCTTGACATTTCGATTGTTATGTCAAAGTGGACGTGCACTTGAGTCCAGCATAGGTCAGCATTGCAGACAATTGTATTCACTGAAATTATACTCTATCGATGCAACTGCGCGAAAGAAACGAGCGTGGGATCGGTCGAGTGCAGAGTGATTTGACAGGTGACATTCTAACGGATAGGTCTAACATCTGATTTCAGAGCTACTGATTCTAATGGCCATCGCGTCGATGGCAGCGGCCATCAACAATTACACGGAGTGCCCCGACACGGAGCCCTGGAGTTTGCCACACGAGTACGACTGCACGAAGTACTACAAGTGTTACATGGGTAGAAAGTTCCAGTTTGACTGTAACAAGGACTCCAAGGGCAACTACCTGTGCTTCGACCCGGAGGAACAATTGTGCTCCTTGTGGAACGACTGCAAGTGCCGATCATCGCACTGCGTATCATCGTCCGACGTTCATAAGTGGGCGGATCCCACCAACGAAGGCTGGTACTATCAATGCAAGAACGGGAGGTCAGAGCGTATGCAGTGTCAGCAGGGTACCGTCTTCGACCCGGCGCAGCTCGAATGCCGGACCAAGAGTGACAAGTGCACCGTGCCAGGGACCCGCTATCCTCACGAATGTTACTGCGATTTGTATTACGAGTGCAAGAACGGCCAGCTGACGGGACGGAGTTGTCCTACCGGTTGGTTGTTCGACGATGTCCTTCTGAGCTGTCAGCCGGCTAAGGACGCGCACTGCGACGGCAAGAGACCGAACGACAACGGCTGCCCGGCTACCGGCAAGGCCCAACTACCCGACCCGGAGAGCTGCTACCGATTCTACCAATGCGTGGACGGCGTGAAGACGCTGCGACCGTGCCCATACGGGACGGCTTTCGACGAGGTAAAGCTGATGTGCATCTGGTGGTCAGAGGCCACGTGTAGCAAGAATGACTTCACGACGCCGAAGTCGACGTCTCACAGCTGCCTGAATTGGCCGAAGTCGAAGAAGGCGAACATGGAGGACTGCAACAAGTACTACGAGTGCGTCGACGGTGAAGTGCAGGAGGGCAAATGCCTGGAGAAACACTACTTCAACGAGATGATACAGTCCTGCGACCTGGAAAAAACCGGCAACTGCAAGGAACATACACCCAAGGACCAAGATTGCCCCGACGTCGACTGCGGCAAGAAACGCTACCCGCACAATAATTGTGAGTGGTACTACGAATGCCAAAACGGCATTAAGCAGGAGAAAGTGTGTCCGAGTGGGCTCTACTTCAACAAGGACACCGAGATGTGCGATCTGCGGGATAACGTCGAATGCGCCAATTGCAAAGCCGGCACACGGACTCCACACGAGTGCCAATGCAACCAGTACTACGAGTGCAACAACAACGGGGAACAAACCCTGAAGACTTGTCCCGCCGGCAAGAACTTCGACATGATCATTCTGGACTGCTTGCCCCAGGAGAAAGCCACTTGCCACAAACGTGGCCATAACCCGACATTAGACTGGCGCTATTAACCATCGACCACCAAAATGTGGCCGAATCCAATTCATTTATTTCGCGACGAACGAGACTCGAGAACACACTCGTTTGTTGGCCGAAACGAGGATCGTAGGAAATATACACATACGTTGCATGTGTTACCACCCTGTACCATTGTACAGTTTATAGAATATTATCCGTAGAAGTACAATCGGCATTCTAAAACTATAACACGGTGCCAACATGGTATCGAGCATTACGGTTAGTAATAGTACTTGTAATAAACTTGGACTAGCCCGTGTATCAAGAAACTCGTTGCATCTACGTTTCGTATTCTACTGTACCAATGAAACGCAGAATTAAATCAACAGTATTGCCAAGGGTCGCACTGTACAGATTTTACAGAAATAAATGTAAAAGGGACGATCGTCTGACTTGCCTTTGTTCTATGAACTTTGTCCTAATCGATTCCAACGTTCTATTTAATTGCTCCAGAGATGATGTATCCGCTTTTCTTTCGTGTATCACCAACCCTGTTGTAGCGGTCATTTCGCCGAAGCTTCGTAGGCTGTAGGATAGCGATCGGCGACGAGTACAGTTCGCTATTTAACGATTTGATAAGACCGTGATTTTCAGGAATTTGTTCTAGACGAGTCGATGGACTTTTGTTTAAACCGAGTACGATAATATCTTTCTAATTAGCGCTCAGATTGCACACAAAAGTGGACAATTATTCGAGACATGCGTCTCGTTTTTATAGTTACTGTATGTTGTTTAGGAGGGTATATGTTACCTAATGTAGACAATGGAATAAAAGGAATTGGAATCGCGTGCAAAAATTGCTCCTCGTTTTCATGGTAATAGCACTCGAGAATCTATCGCTTTAGGGTCTTTAAGTAATCTCATACAATCGGTTATCAGAGAGATTATAGAAGTCGATATTTCTAGAAAACATTGCCGCGCTCGTAACATATAATTTAGGAACGATTTGCTATTATTTCCTTCACCCAATTGAACACGCGCTCGTCGTTAAATGGATCTATAGATACATCCTGTTTTCCACAACGAATTGATTCATTTATTAACTGATTAACGACAGGCGACCGATCGTTATGAATAATGGTGAATATAGAACTCGATAATTGAAATAAACAACGTCCTACCGAATCGCCAAAGCACGTGGTCCGGTTGATATGACTGTCGGGCAAGGGTGGAACGATATTTAACGAATCGATGACGCCATTCGAACACAACGATAGCGTTAATAATACGGTAGGTTTTTTTTATTGTTATCAGCATCGAGTCAAATATCATTTCTGATCGAAGGAGACCAAGTGGTTCTACGAAAGTTGTGTAGTATCAAAGGCTTTAGTAACTTTCGGCGATAAGAAGCGGAATGTCAGGGTGCGGGAAACAGTTACTGTTGTTTTACCAATTGACTTTGGTTTGTTTTCGGGCATAATTAACTTCATATTTATAGAATAAAGCATATTAAATTCTGTTCGTTTAAAGAAAAGCAAAATAGAGGAATACAAATATTTTTATTAAAAAATATTTAAAATAAAAGAATCCAAAAATTTAATACGACTTGTTTGATAAATATGAAGTTAATTATGCTCAATAACAAATCAAAGGCATAGCAATTGATCACTCCACAGTAACTGCTTCATTATACCCTACAATATCGTGGCATGTCACGGCTTGTTAAAAAACTATCGGTACCTCGTGGATCGTAGACTCTCCTTTCGTGAAAGGTACGCGAAGCTACAGAGAAAGAACTTTCAGTTATGTCCTTACCTCCTCCGAGAAACCGTGGAAATGAAATGACACCGCATGATACAGCGATCACACAGAGTACAGAAAATGATTCCGTAGAATCTAAGAAATACCGGGTTGTCTCTTATCTGGAAGGTAGTGGTATCAGACTATCCGATAAACAGTGCTTTCTAATCTGTATCAATTAACAATCGAAAATGATAACGATCGCGTATTGGTATGCACGTACAAGTAAGAGAATTTTAAGATATTACTGGATGAAATCTTTACCGGTGTTTTATATGTTTTTCATTCACGATTTCCTTCGAATCGCAGACCCTTTTCCGAAGCATTTTTCTGGTCAGCATCATCTTCGAGACGAATTGTATTGCACGATTTCCGTAAGCGACTGATGTAGTAGTTTATGAATTTACGTAATGTCAGTTTGATGACAGAGAGGATGACATTATTGGAAACCGAACCAAAATCGTCGCGGAGAAGCTATTATGCAAACATTCCGTAGAGCCGCGCATACTAAAGTAGTTATAGAAAATCGAGGTATGGTTACGTGGCGTTGAGTGTCCAATTAACATTTTATCAGGATAGAACATAGAAATCCGCAACAAGATCTTCGCGGACAATCGCTAGGTGTTGAGAAATTGTTAAGTACCGCACTATCCGTAATTGATAAGATTTCTGGAAACTTATAAAAGTGGATGCGTCAATAAAAATTACACAGTAGTTGTAATTATAACAGCGTGTACTGTATTCGACGGTTCTCGAAAGGATTCGCTATGAAAGGTACGTACGAAATTTGGAACATAGATCGAATAAAGATAGAGTCGGCGAATGTACGATTCACTGGATTAGCTGCACTTAGCGCGACTGATACGTGATTAAATTCGTTACATTCGACGTTCACTTACTCTGTAGGGAAATTACTATACCAGCTTTTAAATCATTATTTCTATATCGCTCGAAAGAAATCCAATATTACTTCGCAATTAACGAAGCTGATGAGTTATAACTGATTACGTTGTTTCAGGATTATACACATTGGCCGTCGTTGCCACATTGGCATTCCTGTCTGAAGGAAGAACTATTCCATCAGAATGTGCAGGAGCGCGCAACGGCGCACTGATTCCGCACGAGTCGAACTTCCAGAAGTTTTATCGGTGCACCCATGGACGAAAAGAGGAATTCAGTTGTCCAAGGACTGCTGATGGTCAACTGTGTTATAACCCAGAATCACAAATGTGCGACTGGTCCGAAATAGTACCTCAGTGCTATGCACCGACATCTGCTGCACCATCCTCAATTCCTACAACCGTAGGTGATTCATCACCTGCGTCCAGTACAGAGGAACCAGCAACGACTGAACCATCCACTGAGGAACCAGCGACGGCTGAGCCTACCACAGAAGAACCAGCAACTGCTGAACCAACCACAGAAGAACCAGCAACTGTTGAACCAACCACAGAAGAACCAGCAACTGCTGGACCAACCACAGAAGAACCAACAACTGCTGAACCAACTACAGAAGAACCAGCAACTGTTGAACCAACCACAGACGAACCAGCAACTGCTGAACCAACTACAGAAGAACCAGCAACTGTTGAACCAACCACAGACGAACCAGCAACAGCTGAACCAACTACAGAAGAACCAGCAACTGCTGAACCAACTACAGAAGAACCAGCAACTGCTGAACCAACTACAGAAGAACCAGCAACTGCTGAACCAACTACAGAAGAACCAGCAACTGCTGAACCAACTACAGAAGAACCAGCAACTGCTGAACCAACTACAGAAGAACCAGCAACTGCTGAACCAACTACAGAAGAACCAGCAACTGCTGAACCAACTACAGAAGAACCAGCAACTGCTGAACCAACTACAGAAGAACCAGCAACTGCTGAACCAACTACAGAAGAACCAGCAACTGCTGAACCAACTACAGAAGAACCAGCAACTGCTGAACCAACTACAGAAGAACCAGCAACTGCTGAACCAACTACAGAAGAACCAGCAACTGCTGAACCAACTACAGAAGAACCAGCAACTGCTGAACCAACTACAGAAGAACCAGCAACTGCTGAACCAACTACAGAAGAACCAGCAACTGCTGAACCAACTACAGAAGAACCAGCAACTGCTGAACCAACTACAGAAGAACCAGCAACTGCTGAACCAACTACAGAAGAACCAGCAACTGCTGAACCAACTACAGAAGAACCAGCAACTGCTGAACCAACTACAGAAGAACCAGCAACTGCTGAACCAACTACAGAAGAACCAGCAACTGTTGAACCAACCACAGAAGAACCAGCAACTGCTGGACCAACCACAGAAGAACCAACAACTGTTGAACAAACTACAGAGGAACCAGCAACTGTTGAATCAACCACAGAGGAACCAGCAACTGTTGAACCAACCACAGAAGAACCAACAACTGCTGAACCAACTACAGAAGAACCAGCAACTGTTGAACCAACCACAGACGAACCAGCAACAGCTGAACCAACTACAGAAGAACCAGTAACTGCTGAACCAACTACAGAAGAACCAGCAACTGCTGAATCAACCACAGAAGAACCAGCAACGGCTGAACCAACTACAGAAGAACCAGCAACTGCTGAACCAACCACAGAAGAACCAGCAACTGCTGAACCAACTACAGAAGAACCAGCAACTGCTGAACCAACCACAGAAGAACCAGCAACTGCTGAATCAACCACAGAAGAACCAGCAACGGCTGAATCAACCACAGAAGAACCAGCAACGGCTGATCTTCCAAGCCCTACCACCACTGATCCGTCAACCGAATCCACGGAAAACGTCATATGCCCAGATTCAAGTTTAGTGAGACTGCCCCACGAAAGTGATTGTAATTTGTATTACGAATGCGATCAGGGACAGCTTACAGTTGTTGCTTGTGGGATTGGTCTAGTCTTTAACCCTACTTTAGGCTTATGTGATTTGCCAAAGAATTATCATTGCAAGAAGCTTATGTTTCATTAGAATACGTATTTTGAACGAAATGTATTTCTGAGATGACTTTGTGAACATCTGTTGCTTGACGAAAGTACTTGTATGTATTGGAAACGTTGGTTGTGGTTGCGCAGTTTGCGACAATATTCATAATATTTAGAGCTTAAATGTCTGTAAGCTTAAATTTCTCATTGAAATCCTAGCACCGTATATGTACATGTTACAGACAATGACTGAAACAATAATAAAATATTGATATCTTACTCGCCCTACAGCTGTTTGCTTCACATGTCATAAGTCCAAATACAATCTTTACAGTACGTATGTCGCGCTGCCGAATTTCAATCAATCAATTTGGTTAGTCACCTGCATAAAAGCGGCAACTGCAAGGAACATGCACCCAAGGATCCAGATTGCTCCGCCGTTGATTGCGGCAAGAAACGCTACCCGCACAGTTATTATGAGTGGTACTACGAGTGCCAAAATGGCGTTAAGCAGGAGAAAGTGAGTCCGAGTGGTCTCCACTTCAACAACAACACCGAGATATGCGATCTGCGGGATAACGTCGAATGCACCAATAGCAAAGCTGGCACACGGACTCCCCACGAGTGCCAATGCAACCAGTACTACGAGTGCAACAACGGGGAACAAGCCCTGTAGACTTGTCCCGCCGGCAAGAATTTCGACGTAGTCATTCTGAACTGCTTGCCCCAGGAGAAAGCCACTTGCCACAAGCGTGACCATAACCCGAAATTGGACTGGCGCTATTAACCATCGACCATTAAAATCTTGTCGAATCCAACTCACTTATGTCGCGACGAAAAAGACTCGAGAACACCCTCGTTTGTTGGCCGAAACGAGGATCGTAAGAAATAGCGGAGCAGTTGTTTCCTACTGTACCAATAAAACGCGGAATCAAATCAACCGTGTTGCCAAGGGTCACACTGTACAGATTTTACCGAAATAAATGTAAAAGGAACGATCGTCAGATTTGCCTTTGTTCTTTGAACTTTGTCTTAATCGATTCCAACGTTATATTTAATTGCTCCAGAGATTATGTGTCCGCTTTTCTTTCGAGTACCACTAACCCTGTTGCAGCGGTCATTTCGCCGAAGCTTCGTTGAATTGTTTGCTGTAGGATAGCGATCGGCAACGAGTACAGTTCGTGGTTTTCATGCGCTATTCAACGATTTGATAAGACCGTGATTTTCAGGAATTTGTTCTAGACGAGTCGATGGTATTCAAACCGAGTACAGTAATATCTTCCTAATTCGTGCTCAGATTGTGCACAAAAATAGACGATTATTCGAGCCTTGCGTGTCGTTTTTATAGTTGTTGGTAATCGGTAATTACTGTACGTTGTTTAGGAGGGTATATCTTACCTAATGTCGACAATGAAATAAAAAGAATTGGAACCGCGTGCAAAAATTGCTCCTCTCTTTCATAGTAATAACACTCGATAATCAATCGCGTTAGGGTCTTTAAGTAATCTCGTACGATCGGTTATCAGAGAGATTTTAGAAGTCGATATTTCTCGAAAACAGAGCCGCGCTCGTAACATATCATTTAGGAACGATTTGCTATTATTTCCTTGACCCAATTGAACACGCGCTCGTCGTTAAATGGACTTATAGATACTTCCTGTTTTCCACAACGAATTGATTCATTTATTACCTGATTAACGACAGGCGACCGATCGTTATGAATAATGGTGAATATAGAACTCGATAATTGAAATAAACAACGTCCTACCGAATCGCCAAAGCACGTGGTCCGGTTGATATGACTGTCGGGCAAGGGTGGAACGATATTTAACGAATCGATGACGCCATTCGAACACAACGATAGCGTTAATAATACGGTAGGTTTTTTTTATTGTTATCAGCATCGAGTCAAATATCATTTCTGATCGAAGGAGACCAAGTGGTTCCACGAAAGTTGTGTATTATTAAAGGCTTTAGCAAATTTCGACGATAAGAAGCCGAATGCCAGTGTGCTGGAGACGGTTACTGTTATTGTACCAATTGACTTAAGTTTTAGTTATGTCCTTACCTCTTCCGAGAAACCGTGCAAATGAAATGATACCGCATGATACAGCGATCACGTATAGTATAGAAAATGATTCCGTTGAATCTAAGATATATCGGGTTGTCTCTTATATAGAAGGTACTGGTGTCAGACTTTCTGATAAATAGTGCTTTATAATCTGTATCAATTAACAAACGAAAATGATAACGTTCGTTTTCGTATGAACGTACAAGTAAGAGAATTTTAAGATATTACTGGATGAAGTTTTTTTCAGACCCTTTTCCAAAGCATTCTTCTGGTCAGCATCATCCTCGAGACGAACTGTATTGCACGATTTCCGTAAGCGACTGCTGTAGTAATTCATGAATTTACATAAGGTCAGAATGATGACAGAGAGGATAAAATTATTGTACCGAAATCGTCGAGGGGAAACTATTATTAAAACATATCGCAGAGCCGCGCGTACCACGAAATCCGTTATAGAAAATCGAGGTATAGTTACGTGGCGTTGTGTCCAATTAACATTTTATCAGAGTAGAACATGGAACTCCGTAACAAGATCTTCGCAGATAATCGCTATGTGTTGAGAAATTTTTAAGTACCGCACTATCCGTAATTGATAAGATTTCTGGACACTTATAAAAGTAGACGCGTCAACAAAAATTACACAGTAGTTGTAATTATAACAGCGTGCACTGTATTCGACGGTTCTCGAAAGGATTCGCTATGAAAGGTACGTACGAAATTCGGTACTTAGATCGAATAAAGATGGAGTCGGCGAATGTACGATTCACTGGATTAGAATCATAACGACGCGAGACACATTTTCGAAGACTTTGACCTATGTCTTAAAGTGCAATCCATACATGCCAAAATATCAAAAAGTCAAGTGAAACGAATTATAAAATTACTATGAATTGACTGAACTTTACATTATCTGACCAATCAATTTGGTTAGTAAACAATATACACGTTAATAAATAATAACTATGATTCACTATGATTCTAATCCACTCAATTAAGCCTAACCGTAGGGTGCACTTAGGGCGACTGATACGTGATTAAATTCGTTAAATTCGACATTTACTTACTCTGTAGGAAAATTACTATACCAGCTTTTAAATCATCATTTCTATATCGCTGAAAGAAATCCAGTATTACTCCGCAATTAACGAAGCCGTTAAGTTATAACTGATTACGTTGTTATACATGTTTCAGGATTATACACATTGGCCGTTGTTGCCACGTTGGCATTCCTGTCTGAAGGAAAAACTATTCCATCAGAATATGCAGGAGCGCGCAACGGCGTACTGTTTCCAGAACCAGCAATGGCTGAGCCTCCAAGCCCTATCAACACTGAAGTCACGGCAAAAGTCAAATGCCCAGATTCTGGTTTAGTGAGACTGCCCCACGAAAGTGATTGTAATATGTATTACGAATGCGATCAGGGACAGCTTACAGTTGCTGCTTGTGGGATTGGTCTAGTCTTTAACCCTACTTTAGGCTTATGTGATTTGCCAAAGAATTATCATTGCGAGAAGCTTATGATTCGTTAGAATACGTATTTTGAACGAAATGTATTCCTGAGACAAAGTACTTGTATGTATTGGAAATGGTTGTGGTTGCGCCTTTTGCGACAACGACCATTTTAGGCACATTCATAATATTTGGAGTGTTCACGCAAATATCTGTAACGTAAGCTTAAATTTCTCATTGTAATGCTAACACCATATATGTAGTTATTACAGACAATAATTGAAACAATAATAAAATATCGAAATGTTCCTCGTTCTGTTCGGCAGTTTGATTCATGTGTCATATGTCCCGATAAAATCTTTACAGTACGTACGTCGCGCCGCCGAATTACTTCCATTATCATCGAACGGTATAACACATACGAGTGGACTCTTCGAGGAGAATTTGTAAAATCAATTTGGTTAGTCATTATCACAGGCGCTCGATTTCATAGGAATCGATTATCCGTCACGATACTCACACTGGTATTTTTGATAAGTTGATTCGCTTATAAAAGGCAGGATATGCATATCTCATTTTGTAATACGTTCTAGCTAATCTGAAGCAGCTTGTTGCCACTGTTCTTTAGCCAGTTATTCACTCGTCATGATTGGTGAGTACGTAGACCCAACGAATCTCGAGACAACGCGAGACGCTGACGAAACTCATAGAATCGATCGTTCGCAATTTGAGATACAGGTGCAACGTGCAACACGAGTTATTTTTTCTTGGAATGTTAAGGACGCTTCGATTGCACGTTCTGTTGACGCGTCTGACCATTGCTATCTTATTCCACTTGTCTCGCCGTTGAGCGCGAGAAACACTTGCAATGTCAGCTCCTTGCAAGCATTCGGCATGTGACGCTGCTATGCCTCCAGTGGTAAGTATTACGGTGCAAGATTTAATGCTATGTGTGTGATTTCAGCAACGTTCGCGGTCATTGCCACGATCGCGATGGCAACTGGCGTGTTCTCCAACGCGATACCAAATGACTGTCCACCGGACGAATCCTCGGTGATTATGAGATATCCGCACGAGTGTTTGTGCCAACAGTATTACAATTGCTGGCGCGAGGAGAAGGTTCTACAAGGTTGCTTCCTGGGAATGTTGTTCGATCGAAACTCCAGCAGCTGTGTCCCATTCGACGCAGCGGACTTCAGCCACTGCGACGACGAGCTGCCGTCTGCCTGGAAATGTCCGTCAGACGGTGTGATTACGTTGCCCCACGAAACCGACTGCACCTTGTACTATCGTTGCCAGAACGGCCAGAAGTCTCTGCGATACTGCAGAGGAGGACTGCACTTCGACCACCTGAAGGGTCTCTGCATCTGGCAAGATTCGGCGCGATGTGCCAGGAACATAGGATTGAACTTGTGTCCACCTGCTGGCTCGAACAGGAGCGCAAACCTTCCTCACCCATGCCTCTGCGATCGATATTATAAATGTGCGGACGGTGTGCCCATTTTGAAAAAGTGTCCGCCTGGTCTACAGTTTGACTATGTCCGCGAGATTTGCGACGATCCGCATAACTTTAAATGCGTCAGACCTATCCCAGAGATTCCTACAACTACGCAAACTCCAACTACTTCTACAACTACTCAGAGTCCCACGACTCCTACAACCACACAAACTCCCACGACTACTATAACTACTCAGAGCCCTACGACTCCTACAACCACACAAACTCCCACGACTACTACAACTACTCAGAGTCCTACGACTCCTACAACCACACAAACTCCCACGACTATTACAACTACTCAGAGTCCCACGACTCCTACAACTACACAAACTCCCACGACTACTACGACTACTCAGAGTCCCACGACTCCCACAACCACACAAACTCCCACGACTACTACGACTACTCAGAGTCCCACGACTCCTACAACTACACAAACTCCCACGACTACTATAACTACTCAGAGTCCCACGACTCCTACAACCACACAAACTCCCACGACGACTACAACTACTCAGAGTCCCACGACTCCTACAACCACACAAACTCCCACGACTATTACAACTACTCAGAGTCCCACGACTCCTACAACCACACAAACTCCCACGACTACTACAACTACTCAGAGTCCCACGACTCCTACAACCACACAAACTCCCACGACTATTACAACTACTCAGAGTCCCACGACTCCTACAACTACACAAACTCCCACGACTACTACGACTACTCAGAGTCCCACGACTCCTACAACCACACAAACTCCCTCGACTCCCACAACTACCCAGACTCCAACCACTCCAACATCGTCAGATTGTCCCATCGATTGTTCAGGAAAAGTACGTCTGCCAAATCCAGTTGACTGTTCTAGCTACTACGAGTGTTACCATGGTAGAAAAGCGTTGTTGCGATGCTCCTCCGGGCTCCGATACAACAGAGTAGCGGATACGTGCGACTGGTCGTGGAACGTCGTGTGTTAGCACCTAACATCCTCATATCATCCCCATTTTGGCCATCCTGATCGAGCTTTTAAATGCAGTAGCTTCACGATGGTCATACTGTACTTCGTCTAATGCGTGAGATAGAATGCAGTTACAAGGTGTGGCCGTAATAAGAAAAGAACAATGCAGACCGACTTCTTTTTTACCTTTTATAGTAGGAATCGGCATAGTTTCCTGAAGGTACAGTTTTTGGAGGATCGACGCGGATTGGAAACATGGTAGATTGACAGATTGGAAACATGCTACACCGAATTGTTTGAACATGAAGCATAATTATTACCAACAAGCAATCAGCATGACATAATTGTATGAAGCTGTAACGTAAATAAATTCGTCAAATATGTTTTGATTGCGAACTTTTTAAATCGTGAAATGGTCGCATGGGAGTATTTAACACCCGAGCCATTTGTTTTATAATTGATGTTTCTCTATTTTTTAGAGAAATGTTAGGTGGTGTCATCTAGCTGTTAATTAAGAGTCACCAGTCCTATTAGCTTTTAATTAAGAGTTACAGTAGCGTGATTTTGTTATCGGTATTATTTTTACCGGTAATGAAAAACATGTTCGACGTAGCCGCGAGCCTAAAACCGCGTGCTGCAGTAAGCAGGTTACTAATTGTTGCGTAACGCGTATATCATTGGAATTACCCAATTCAAAAGACGCGTCGTTTTCCACGTCGACATACACATGATCGACCGCCATATTTATTGCGTCATCTTTCGATTTTATCGTCTCATTCGGGAGCGATAAAGTCGATTCTTTTGATAACACCTTTCTGCATGCGTTACGGAGATAGTGGACAGGAAGTTATTCGGTTCGCCGTTCGCTCACAAATGAGATTCTTGACGATGTGTGCTATCAGTGTGTCATAGAATACGGGATGTCGACATTTCCGACACCTGTATTGGCTGTCCTTATGCAAATAACTCGCCGAAGCATTCCAAATTTTCACGAGTTATTTTCGATCATCGATTAACGTTCTATTAAAAGATATGCGTAAAATAACCTAATCTTCGCGAAACTAACGTTTACGCGTTAAAAAGCCAGCTGACTCTTTGCCCGCGAGGAAAGACGACTGACATGCTATTATGTTTGACATTTTCGAGATGAGGTACGAGTCGATCAAACGAGTTCTAAATCAACGAAGCATCAATAGAACAAGGAAGGAAGTACATATAGGGTTTCTTTTGTTCAGAGAGCTCGGCAACGGCCCATTGACCGATCCAGCAATGGATCGCTTGAAATCATGCCACGTGTGTGCAAATTCCTTTCGGTTATCAACTCGGAACAATTAATACTTGCCATGACAGACTATAAAAATTGTTTGCACGCAGCGTTCTCGGCGAACGGATTTTCAGCCAATTAACGAATAAAAAGCTGATGTGCTCATGTGGTTTTTGTGTGAACAACTATCCAAACCATGTATGTCAATTCCATCTGGCAATACCCGTAGCCGATAAGGCTTTCCGCAGTATATAAAAATGATTCCTTTTGCATGTGGTTCATAGTTACTTGTCAAGTCAGAGCAATCATATATCAGACTGAAGGAGACAAATAACGATCATCATGAAAGGTAAGTATTCGCAGTTTTCTGTCCAGTATCATAAAACACAATTGTTAGCCGACGACAGCGTTAGTTAGATGACGGTATGTAAAAAAATAGACTAATCGAACGATGTAGACTTTTGTGATTCTATCTAATAGACCAATTTCGAACTGAATTTTCACCGCGAGCGTCAAGGCGCGCTTTTACATTATGTTATTAAATACGTTCACGTTTATACACGTTTGTCGGATGGATTCTGCAGGCAGTTTCCCAAAAACGATTTGAACGTAAAAATGTTCTTCGCAGTGTATTCGTTCATTGATAATATTCTAGTTGTCACCCTTCGCGTGTATACGTATACGTTGTCAGAGTCAACCCGTGATGGCATCCGTATTTTATGTACGATAAATAAAACTGTACTAAAAGCTGTGAATTATCTACTAAGCCAACCAAAGTCATAGAAACGTTCGGATGATACAGCTTAGCCAGTGGTCTTCGTTGTTGAAGCTACGTTGAAACTCGATGGAAATGAAAATGCTGAAATTGATTTCCGTTTTTCTGCGCTACAGATCAATTTGCACTTTCGTTAAGTCGACGACAGTCGTGAATCGATGCTTGTCATGTTTCAGGGATATGCATTTTGGTGACCGTTGCCGCGGTGATAGCTCTTTCCGAGGCTTTTAGCTGTCCAACAGATACTCCGACCGATAAAATTGTCTACTTGCCTCACGAAGACTGTCACAAGTACTACGAGTGCAAAAATGGAACTCCAAACCTAAGGGATTGTCCAAACGACGAGAATGGCGTGTATTGTTTCGACAAGACGAACATGAAATGCGCCCCAGAGTCGGAAGTACCAGATTGTTGTAAGGGTTCAGATCCTACTCCCACTCCCGGCCCAGGCGACTGTCCATGTTCATCTGCTAAGTGCAAGATGCATTACGACGACGAAAATATCGAGATCTGCGTGAAGAAGAATTCTTCTCCCACAACAGCGTGCTCCACAACACCGTCTCCCGCAACACCGTCTTCCTCAACAGCGCCTCTCACAACGACGGCATGAAACGTAAGCATACAACCAAGTGTAGTCTTCTGCCGCGACTCTTTTTAAACTGAGATCCTCTTCATTTAATTCACAGGTCAATTGCGACATCCTCGACGGAGAATGCGACACCTAAGGAGCCTATCTTCTATTAGAACTAAGAATCTGGCATACGTGTCATCGTTGACAATATACGCGAACCTCGAAGTTGCATTGCATTTCCACCATTGAATAAAATGAAACCTATGTTCAAAAAATGCCTACGTTTTCTCTGTCACCTGTTCGAGTAGCCTGAAGCATTGAAACGTACTGTTTGAAACGCGTCAATTTACAAATCGATTGTTCGATACCCTTACAGTAACATTATAATCTTATAAAACGTAAAGCTACGCTCTTTAGTCCCAAGATATTAATTCGAATTTTCCATTTGTTCTCCATTTCCATTTCCAATTTACATCAGAAGGAAATTCAAAAATTTTAGTTACTTTTGTGCGACTCGGAATGAGGGCGTTCATTCAACCAGAAAAACGACTCCGAAATCAAAATCGAATCGATCAGAATGTAAAGCGAAATGATCTCATGCCGCTGCTGCAAAAAAGATGTTATCAACAATAGGTTGAGCCTGCATGTGCGCTCAAGATTTCCATAACTGCAAGTATTATCGCAGACATTAGGGAGAATTTGTTGTATTGCGACACGCCAGTGGTCGGAAGATGTGTTCCATCATGCGAAATGAATCCTCCAACTAGCGTACCGTTGACAGAATCAACAGTATCATCCACAGACTCAACAGTATCGTTCATAGAGTCGACCGTATCATCCGCAGAATCAACGGTATTGTCCACATAATCGACAGTATCATCCACAGAATCAATAATATCATCCATAGATTCAAAAGTGTATCACCCACTGAACCTACAATGACATCTATAGAATCGACCGTAACACCCACAGAATCAACTGTATTACCCACAGAATCAATAGTGTCATCTACAGAATCGACAGTGTCGCAACACTGTATTGATCGTAAAATTTACTGAATCGATGGTATCATCCGCTGAATCGACCATAATACCAACAAAATCGACGGTATCGTTCATAGAACCGACGGTATCATCCACCGAACCGACGGTAGCATCTACTGAATCTACAGTATCATCCATAGAATCAAAAGTATCATCATTGAACCGTCCGTAACACCTACTGAATACACTGCAACACCCTCAGGATCAATAGTATCATTCGCAAAAATGCCAGCAACAATTCAAAAAACCGATTTTGGCCCACACGCCGATTGCTAGCTCAAACGCAGATTTTAAAGATGATAATAAAGGCCAAAGATAACACCGTCAAATTATCAGAAATTTACGTCACTGCCGTTACAAAACATTCGCAACGAAAAATTGTCAAATCTTTCCTAATCGCCTAAATAGCATTGTCAATAGCGAATTGTTAACGTGTTGCTGAACTTCGACCAGTTCACGCCAATTTCCAGAAATTATTGCGCGTGCGAATTTCATCTCGAATTTGATATTATGTACGCGTGGACGTTTGTTCTATCTGTACGAGAATCTTGTCGGTCACCGATAAGACATTTTGCCGGCGTATAAAAGTAGACACGTGTGCAGATGATCTGCAGTTGTTCGAGGAGTAAGTGGTATCGGTGTAACAACATTTACTTGTCGTGAGCTATGAATCGTGAGTACTCGGACGTTTCTCTGGTAAATCGACGGTCGATCGGATCTGTTAGGGATTAATTAATCGACACCGTAGCGACCGAGCTCGATCGACGCAGTTTCCCCAACGAGAAAGTCAATTATATACTGTATATATTGTGTAGATCGTCGCACGTGAATCGTGAAGGTGCCCTCAGTGGCACGAGTGGCGCTAAATAACTCGTGCTCTAATACCCGGACGTTGTAAAACTGCAGGTTAATTAACCCTAGAAAGATAACCATATGACAACGTACGTAAAAGATAACCATACGCTTCAGAGGCGCATGCTTTTCTAAGGCGTCAATTTTATACTAACAATGGATATTTATTTAAGTTAATCTAGTCATTTTAAAGGTTTGGCATTATTGTAAAAATAAAATGCATTTATATTATATTTTTTTATATTTTAAGTAATTTTAAACTTAAATCACTAGACCTCTATGAAAAATTAACAAAAATCAACAGTCTTCGC